CATATAAAATACATTTATGTTTTTGGTTGTAACATGACAAAATATGGAAAATTTCCAGGGGTATGAATACTTTTTCAAGGTACTGTACAATGCACAGCTGCACCAGAATCTGAGTGCACAAGTTTAGTAAATCTCCCCCCATCTGTCAAATTTGGATGAAGAAACATGATGGACTGGGGCTCTTTTGCTGGATCCAGAGACGGCGACTTGCAGAGAGTGAGTGGCACTCTGAACCAAAGCAACCTACAAATGCAACACATTTGTGGGAACGTCTGCAACAGTGTTGGGAAGAACTTTCTGAACAATATTTGATTCATGAATAACAGATGGAGACAGCGCTTGTGGACCAATAGCACACAAAAGAAAAAAATATAAATATAAAACAAAAGATATATTAAGCAGAGACGCTATCTTACCCCTGTAGACAGGGTATAGGTAGGAAAAAAGAGCAGCGCTTTTCAAATTGGTATATCTGAACAAGTGAATACAGAAAATATATGTTATAAATGTCTCATATGCCAGATAATATAAATGAATGTGTCACATAATTCACTGATGATTCAATAAAAAAAAATGCAAACAAGTGTCCGTAACTTATATAAATAAAAAAAAAAGTGCAAACATTCATGTCCATAAAACAATATTTCTTCTTTAAACTTCTCTAATGTGAATCAAAAAAAGTGAAGAATCCACCACGACATGAATTGGGTCCACTCACTAGAGCTTCATGCTGGTAAGATTATAAACCAGCTATAACCGCTTGTGCTCTGGGAGCAATGATCTGCAGCAGCAGCACACCCCAGCTGATATTAATTTCTCCAAATAGCAATTGGCTCCTCATATAGTCGGAATGGGACATGAAGGAAGAAAAAAAAATAAAGGAATCCACATAGTGTAAAACCATCCAGGCTTTATTCAATGCAAAAACGTGTTAAAAACCACTCACAGTCCGTGTCAGAGCCGACGCTAGCATTACAAGCATCAGACATCAATATAATAGGTATTGCTCTAGTCTATGCAGACAACGGCAGCTCGCCTATACATGGTGACGTCACCGCCGAGGCCCTTCCCTACGCGTTTCGCCATCCGGCGAATCTTACCAGCATGGAGCTCTGGTGAGTGGATCCAATTCATGTGGTGGTGGATCCTTTCTTCATGTTTTTTTGATTCACATTAGAGAAGTTTAAAGAAGAAATATTGTTTTATGGACACAAATGTTTGCACTTTTTATTTATATAAGTTATGGACACTTATTTTTTATTGAATTATCAGTGATTTATGTGACACATTCATTTATATTATCTGGCATATGAGTCATTCACAATATATATTTTCTGTGTTCACTTGTTCAGAGATATACCAATTTGAAGAGCACTGCTCTTTTTTAATATTTGATTTATGTGGTAGAAAGAATGCCACAAGTGTATTCGGCTGTTCTCTATCTGCAAAAGATGGCTACTTTGAGTCAAAAATTTAGATTGCAATTGCTGAAAATGATTCCTTTTTTCTTTGTATGTCATATACACACACACACTATATTGCCAAAAGTTTTGGGACGCCCCTCCAAATCATTGGATTCAGGTGTCCCAATTATCTCCATGAAACCCAATCCACAAAGCTCTCTACGCACTGTTTTGCTAATCTGAAGGCCACACAAAGTTTGGAGGTCTTTAGCTATTGACTCTGCAGACAGCTGGCAACTTCCGCACACTGTGCGCTTCAGCATGAGCTGACCCCGATCTGTCATTTTATGTGACCCAACACTTTGTGGCTGAGTTGCTGCTGTTCCCAGTTGCTTCCACGTTGTTTTATTACCACTAACTGTTTCACAAGTGTAATAAAAGTGCCACACCCTTAATACTTTAAAGCAGCAATTCCACCTCAAAGAAACCAAATAAATTTCTTAGTGCTATAACTTAAATAAAGGAATGCGCTAAAACCACAAACTTCCTAATTTAGTGTAGAAACATTAGTGCAAAAGATATATATATCTATTCTCAATTAATATCAAAAAAAAATATCAAAATTATGTGCAAAACTATTTTGGCATAATTTCTTTGAGAGCACTTGAATTTAAAAAGGATTTGTTTGGACATTTGAAGAAATTCAAAATTGAACAATTTTTATATTCACAAATTTAATTATTTAAATTACTTATGCACTAAAAAATAGTTTTGCACATAATTTTGATATTTTTTGATATTAATTGAGAATAGATATATATATCTTTTGCACTAATGTTTCTACACTAAATTAGGAATAGTTTGTGGTTTTACCACTAACAGTTGACTGGAATATTTAGAAGAAAGGAAATTTCACGGATGGACTTATTGCACAGGTGGCAACCTATCACAGTACTACGCTTGAACTCACTGAGCTGAGAGCGACCCATTCTTTCACAAATGTATGTAGAAGCAGTCTGCATGCCTAGGTTCTTGATTTTATACACCTGTGGCCATGGAGGTGATTGGAACACCTGAATCCAGTGGTTTAGAGGGGTGTCCCAATACTTTTGGCAATATAGTGGATATAAAAAGTCTGCACACCCCTGTTAAAATTTCATGTTTCTGTGATGTAAAAAAAATGAGACAAAGATAAATCAATTCAGAACTTTTTCCACCTTAATGTAACCTATAAACTGTATAACTCAATTCAAAAACAAACTGAAATCTTTTAGGGGGGGGGGGGGGGGGAGTAAACATGAAAAACTAAAATAATGTGGTTGCATTAGTGTGCACACCCTGTAGCTGTGTTCAGTTAAGCAATCACATTCAAAATCAAGTTAAATAGGAGTCAGTACGCGCCTGCCATCATTTTAAAGTGCGTCTGATTAGCCCCCCAAAAAGTTCAGCTGTTCTAGTAGGTCTTTCCAGACATTTTCTTAGTTGCATCCTACAGCAAAAGCCATGGTCCGCAGAGAGCTTCCAAAGCATTAGAAGGATCTCATTGTTAAAAGGTATCAGTCAGTAGAAGGGTACAAAATAATTTCCAAAGCATTAGATATACCATGGAAAACAGTGAAGACAGTCATCAAGTGGAGAAAATATGGCACAACAGTGACATTACCAAAATTTGGATATCCCTCCAAAATGGATGAAAAGACGAGAAGAAAACTGGTCTGTGAGGCTTCCAAGAGGCATGACAATGACCCAAGCATACATCCAAATCAACAAAGGAATGGCTTCACCAGAAGATTAAAGTTTTGGAATGGCCCAGCCAGAGCCCAGACCTGAATCCAATCGAAAATCTGTGGGGTGATCTGAAGAGGGCTGTGCACAGGAGATGCCCTCGCAATCGGACAGATTTGGAGTGTTTTTGCAAGGAAGAGTGGGCAAATATTACCAAGTCAAGATGTGCCATGCTGATAGACTCATTCCCAAAAAGACTAAGTGCTTTAATAGAATCAAAAGATGCTTCAACAAAGTATATTAGTTTACGGGTGTGCACACTTGTGCAACCATATTATTTTATTTTCACTTCCCTCCACCTAAAAGATTTCAGTTTGTTGTTCAACTGAGTTGTACAGTATATAGGTTACATTAAAGGTGGAAAAAGTTTCTGAAATTTTCTTTCTCATTTACATCACAGAAACCTGACATTATAACAAGGGTGTGTACTTTTATATCTACTGTATGTACAGTATGTTTTAACAAAAAGTAAAGAATACAGTTTTTTCAAAATGTTGGATTTTCTTTCCCTCCTTTTTAAAGTAGAAAATAAAAAAATCCTGTGGTTATTAAATACCACCATAACAGGGCTTTATCTGTTCTGGTTAAAAAAAAAAAAGGCCCACTAATTAATTTGTGTACAGTGTTGCATAACCAAGTAATATTCAGTCAAATTATCACAGCTTTGAAAAATTAAAAATGGCAGAATAATGCAGGGGTATGATAGGCTGTCAAGTGGTTAAGTTATTAAAGGTCATTGTTTCCACCTTGTGTTGTATTAGTCCTTGAGTGTAGCTAAAATCACTCATGGAAATTAGAAAATAAAATATTGAACATACTGTCTTGATCTTTCTTGCCACATCCCATATACTACCAAGTACGTCTTGAGAAAGTTGCATAGTGTATGATATGTAGGACACCCCAAAATGTATTTGTCTTTGAACACAAATTTCTAGTAAGTTAACTGGTTCAGGTAATTCTGTCTGTTATCCTTGTTATAGTGCAAGCACAGAATGGTTAAATTGAGATTTCATTCAGTTAGTCAATTCTAGAAGCCAACTTAAGATCAATGCGGGCAGTGAAAACAGGCGGTTGATCCATGTTGTAATGACCATGCTTTTCAGGCATGCTTTTACTTTATGCCTCGTTTGCCAGATGTGTGGCATAGTATTTCAGTGTAAAATCTCCCTTTGGATTGGGAAATCAAAGGCGTCCAGGACACGGTAGTATTGCCTCTTCCGCTACTATGAACTATGTAGATTCTAAACTGCCTCTGAAAAGTGATCTACCGTAGATTGCTTTTTAAAGATGTATGTAAACCTGCTGCCTGTGTGAACAAGGGTTTGAGCAGCAAGGTTTTTTCCCTTTATAGTTCTGCTTTATTCTTTTGTCGTGTGGCTATCTGATTCCTTGGAACCAACCCAGGGCCAGTAAACATACTGGAATGCATTGCAAGTAAAAAACCTTGATCTTTTACAACCCCTTTAAGAGTCCATTCAGATCCATCTGTTCTTATCCATTGTGTTAACGTGCACCACATTACAGCAGCCCAATTATTTTGAACTGAATGCCAGTGCTCACTGCCAAAAAAGGGACATGCAGCATTTTCTCCAACCAGTACACCACAAGACCTGGTAGTGGAGTTGCCAGCTTTTTCAGTTATATCATAAAAGGCCAATTCTTATTAAAATTATGTGAAGAGGGCAAAACACAAAATTTAGTATTTGATTATGGTTCTGTTTTACAATATCACTTTGTATGTCTGTAAATTAGTTATGTGATCAGGGTTCTGTTTTTCTAAGCAGATGTTGAAAGGACAACAGTGATGTAAAAATGACTCAGGGGAAGAAAAAGAAGAGGGTGAACCGCAGTGTACTCCTTGCCAAAAAAATCATCATTAAAGATGGTGGCACGGTGAGTGTAAAAATAGCAAGATAAACTATTCTATTTGTTCACTGAAAAACACATGGGTAAATGATTTATGAATTACTGCTTTTTTTTTTTTTGTGCATTAATTAAGGGATGAATGAAGAAAAATCGGTCATAAACCTTTTTACAAAAATAACTACAACAGTTTAAAGCTCAGCACTTGGCGTTACTACATAGTGAATCAGTGTCCTGGAGTATATTAAGGTTCCGTATACTCTGGGCATTAAAAAAAATGCTGCTTATACAAGCTTTTGCCATTTCTTTTTTTTTTTTTTTTTTTTTCTTCAGCCCGTATATGCAGCTCTCTGTTTTTCTATTTGTCCATGCACATTAGAGAGTTTACAAGCATATCTGCAGAAAAAAACCCCCCAACAGAATCACTTTATTTTGAGAGGAGCTTTCGAGCAGGAAAAACGTTTTATGCTCATAAACATGGCATTATGGAGTGTTCAGTGTTTTAAAGTGTACATTGATTATAGTGAAAAATGAGCAGAAGTGACTGTCGTGGAAAAAATGCTTATAAAATCAGATGCCCATAAAGGCTCATAAATGAGTCCAATATGAGCATTTTTTTATGCTGCTTATTTTGCCTGAGGTTCTGGCATTTTTTTTTCCAGCCACCTAGTGTGCATATACCATAAATACTTTCTGCTGCCTTATCGTTGGGGCATTAGTGCTACTGATGACACATTACTACATTGTCAACAATGTAGCATATGTCTTTGATAATCCCACTAGACATAATCTAATTTCTTTTTCTTTTCATATTTCCTTAAATCTGATGATGATCGTTTTTATAATTTTTCCGTTGAGGCCCTGGACGTCACTAAAATGATTGTTTATCTCGTGTTCCTCTACCTTCACATGTTGTCCAGGCAAATGGTGTGAGTAGTAGAACAGCTCAATTCAGAGGATTGGAGTGTTTGGCTCTTTATCACAGCAGGAGATACGGTGTCTACAGCAGGGCTTGGAAAATTTGCTTTGAATCTAGGAGTCAGCTGAAAAAAATGTTAGGAGCCGATTTTTTTTTTTTTTTTTTTCCTGCCTAGCTTGAGTTGTCAGCGCCAAGGCAAGTAATTTGTGAGGTGCAGAATGCAGGACATGGGGTGCAGGGGAAGGGTACATTGTGCAGAATGCAGGACATGGTGTGCAGGGGAAGGGTACATTGTGCAGAATATGGTGTGCAGAATGCAGGACGTGTTGCTGGGTGCAGAATGCAGGACATTGGGTGCAGGGTACCGGAGAAGGGTGCAGGTCACTGCAGGACATGGGGTGCAGAATGCAGGACATGGTGTGCAGGAGATGGGTGCAGAACGCAGGACATGGGGTGTAGGAGATGGGTGCAGAACATGAGGTGCAGGAGACGGGTGCAGAACGCAGGGCATGGGGTGCAGGAGAAGGGTGCAGAACGCAGGGCATGGGGTGCAGAATGCAGGACATGAGGTGCAGGACAGCAATGCAATCCACTACTCCCCCTGTGTTCTGCATGTTCAATGCATCCTCTGCAGCAGTGTCTGAGAGCAGAGTGGACAGAGTGCAACTTGTGTGCATAAAGCAACATGTTCCTCCCTGGCTGGCTCCTTAGATTGATACTTTGCCGGATTGCCCTGTTCATTACTGTAAGGACACTGTAGTCCTTTTTCTCATCACATTTGAGGTTCCGAGTGCCGAGGCGGCGCCATGTTGGAGACTGGGTCCTGATCCTTTCTCTCTGTTCCGCCGGAGGGGCTCTGCAGAAACACAGGCAGCTGTGGGTGGAAGCAGGAGTTGTTGCAGATGGTAATGCAGCCGCGGAAAGGAGATTTCAAAAGATCGTCAGCGGGAGCTCAGTAGATGTGTCATCTCCCTCTCAGTCTCTCGCCGCTGTCCTGCCCCCCCCAGTCCAGTCCGCCCTGGGCTTCACAGGTTGGGTGCCGCTGCCGCCTCCTCCATTCCCCTCACCCTCCTGCCAGGCCCCACTCCAAGCCACATTCCTGTCTAAATGTATCTGGGTGTCAGGCGAACACATTATTCAGACCAACAATGAATGGGCACCAGGGCACAATTTCTAGTCGCCATGGCGACCTTGCACCTGGGATTTGTCGAGCCCTGGTCTACAGTATCTGTACTCTTTAGCATTGCAACACTTGGTCATTGGTTCTCAAAAGTGTGTATAAGCCATTATTGTTGTACCAGTGTTTTATTATGTTAACAAATATGATAAAAACATACACAGAAAAAACATTTAGCAGTTTAAAATGGATTTCAAGTCAAATTTTAATATCAAAACTATATGTAATCCAGTAGTGTATTTAGTAAAAAAAAAAAAAAAATGTTTTCTTGATTATAACTTGTGCTGGTACCTCAATCTGTATCATGTCAATTTTCTGTAATCAGTCCCTTGCACAGTACACTGAGCTGGTCAGGGTTATGACTATGACTTATAGCAAAACTTAAGAAGCCAGTTTTATTATTAATAAATATATATATATATATATATTTTAGTAAATTGGTTCAGAAGCTCCTGAATTAAAGCTAAATTTTTGAGCACGTATAAAAGTCACATATTAATAAACCTGTAATCATTAAATTAAAACTTTAAATGCAAGCAGTGTAAGTACTTGAATTTGATCTAGTATTGGGCTTTTGCATATAATGTACAGTTTGTACAGTAGAGCTGTAAAATTATTTGTATTATGTAACATTTGTGTTTTGATACTTCGTACAAAAGGTTTGCTTTATAGTTAATTATGCTCTATATTCCCATTTTTATCCAGCCTCAGGGGTTTGGTTCTCCCAGCGTGTATCATGCTGTCATTGTGATCTTCCTCGAGTTCTTTGCCTGGGGCTTGCTTACTGCTCCGACATTGGTGGTAAGTTTTGAATGACATATACTGGTTACAGAATGACAAGATGTGGTTGTAAGCATGTGTACATTACTGTTAGACAATAAAATGTCTAATGCAAATAAAATATATATTTATACCATTTCAAAAATGTTCCTGATTATTTTTGCATGCTGTTCAGGCTTGCTCCAGTTTTTTTTATACTTTATTTTTTAATTTTTGACAATGTCAGTAAGGAGGCTTCTCTGTACAGATCCATTGAAAATGAACCCCTGCCAGGGACCAATAGTATTTACAAAATTCAAAGTCCAACAGGAAAAACTTGGTATAGATGTCACAGTAGTAGGCCTTACTCATACATAAAATGAACATAAAGGAAAAGGTGAGGAAAGTAGGATAGAGAACACGAAGGTGGAGGAGGACAGGGATAAAGAGCGAGAGAGGAAAAATCAGGTGAGGATGGGCTCCATGGCTACAACAGCATAGGTGTAAAATTCTCAAATGGTTGTACATGTGGTCTTGTCTGTCCATCAGACGCAGTTCAATGGGGTTTGATATTTATAGGAGTATTTGTGATCCACCTAGTAAAACCAGCTTCTGCAAAAGTTTTTCTTTCATTATGTTTGAGCAATCCATTGTTTTGATATCCTTCATCTTCCAGAACCACAGCCTTGGCTGTATCATTTCAATATTCTAGTTTGCATTCTCTGGCTGCTCTATATAAATGTATCGGGAGGGATTGTTTTTGTGAGTAAGGTGGAGAAAAAGTAGTTGAATTATTTGTTAGTGTCTGTGAGTTTGAAGATTTGATTGGACTGACACCCAAAAGCTTCAAACCTGGAGTAGCTGTATGTAACTTATAGCGTTGGATCTCCCAGATCAGACAGGAGGACTGCATTTACTGCTTCTCTTTCATCAGGCTGCAGTTGAGTGTTATGGCTCACACTACTAGCAGTTCTGTACCTAGGGCTCTGTCTCTTGGTTTAAGTGGTTTTCACGGGCCTGGCGATCGCTGATGAATCAATGTCTCTTAAATAATGGAGTAGGGCAGGCTCAGCAGGAAGGGGCACATGCGCACCACCGCCAGGTCCTGAGGAACTTAGTCGGCTTTCCATTGTGGTGACTTCTCCTGAAAGGCAAGGGGCAACATCTCAGCCGCTGCATTTGTCTGGCATTGTAGCGACTACTGGTACGTCCGCCTTGGTGTATGTAACCAAAGACTATCCTGCATCAGCCTTAGCAGGGTTAGAGAACAAGCTTTTTGTACCTGTGACTCAAGGGGCAAAGAAACAGGAGAGTGGCAAGTAAATACCACCAAAAGAAAGCTCTATTTGTGAGAAAAAGATAAAAATTTCATATGGGTATAATGTTGCATGACTGCACAATTGTCACTGAAAGCTGAAAATTGGCCTGGTAATGAAAGGGGTATAAGTGCCCGGTGGTTAAAGAAGAATTTAAAAAAAAAAAAAGCAAAAGTAGGGTTTTTTTTTTTTTTTTTCTGTTTTAGTAGTTGAAGCCCAGGACCACAGATTGAGTCACAGCTATTTTATGTATTGCTGAGTGCAAAACCATCATTTAAACTTTGCTTTTTCATGTTTAACTCTGTAGGTTTTGCATGAGACATTTCCTAAGCATACCTTCCTTATGAATGGGCTTATCCAGGGAGTAAAGGTAAGCAAATTCTCATTCTGTCTTTTCCTTTTCATAAATGATTTTTTTGTCACTTGCAATGTGCCTTTGAACTTGCTAGAAACATTGAATAGTCCGTTCCCTAGCACAGCTCTTTCCTCTTTTGGGAGTGCCAAATTTCTGTCATTGCTGGCCTAGGCCCTTGCCCCCTTCCTTTTACAGTCCTAAAACATTTACGTAGCTGCAAGAGGAGGAGTATAAGTTATACTATAGATGTTCATTTGAGTGACAGCTCTTAGTCTGCTGGGGCTGTTGACCTTGTATCCATGATGGTGGCACCCAGCAGACTCACAAATTGTCTTGTGGATGTCTACACAAGGGAGACTTTTGCAGATAAAAAGTTACTGCATTGGCAAAGGTGACAGTGGCTCTTTAATTCGATCTGCACTGAGATAAATAACTTACTCAACAGAAAAAAAACTTACTATCTTCAGTGTTGCAAAGGAACAACAAGGGAGTGCTTCTGCAATCTTTAACCTTCCATCCCTACTCTTGTCTTCTACCTGTTGTCAGCCCCTGATCTCCTTTTACTGTCAGTATGATGTTCTAAAGTTCCTACTCATTTATTTTACTGGTGTAAAGCTATCACTCCACCAGAAACATAAAAGCATTCCTTTCTGACGGTGGATATGGATATTGTAAGTGTAGGAATATTGGTAGCATAAAACCTCAAACTTACCAGAAAGAATATTTTTTAAAGTGTATGTCAGGGCGAAAAAAGTAACAGAAAATATGCAGTACATCTCTGCAATACTTGCATAATTTATCTCTTTTAAAGACCTTCAATTACAGTAAAAATACCTGTTGGTCTGTCAGAAATGCACTCATCTTCTAAGTCTTATTGTGGGCTGACAACAAACAGCATGTTTTTGGACTAAATGTTGTCAGCCCTCCCACTTGTATTTTTGCTAACTTATTTCGACCCACCCCCTTGTCTATTCTACACAACATAAATGCTAAAGGTAGCCTGAGCCTGTGGAAATTTGAGCCTGATTCAATTAAAATCAATGCAATGTAGTCATTGTTCAGGGGTATTCGGACATCCACAGGTCCCAGCAGTCTAAATATAATAGCCAAAAGTGCAGCCTCCTATCAGTCCTTTTCTCATTTGGCCTGTGGGCTACACAAGAAAAGTCTAAGTGTGTGGCTAGCCTAATTGATCTGTAGTCTCAAGAAAAAAGCTGGGAGGGCTAATCGGGCTGTTGGTGATATGGGACAGATCTGAAAGAAAATAAAAACAGGCAGATTTTTTCACTTATTGAACAGATATTAGGAACAGTTTTCAATGGTCTATTTAACAGACAAAAAAGGAGCAAATAAAGGATCATTGTTTTGGTTTTATTATTATTAATTATTATGCAAGATTTCTATAACTTCAACAGTTTGTGCAGCACTTTACAATGTAAAGGGAGGCAGTACAGTTACAATACAATTAAAGAGGTTTAGGAGGGCCCTGCTCTTGAACTTCTCTAAAAGGGAGGGGCAATAACTGTGAGTTGAGAGACAGTAAAAGTTCAGTTGTTGGGTGGGGGCAGGATAGGTTTCCATGAAGAAAGGGATGGCCTAAATGTGGACAAAGGAGATAGCCAAAGAGATTGAAGTAAAGTGTTTCAGGAGGCGGAGCTCTGGAGAAATCCTAGAGGTGGGCACAGCAGGAGGTGAATAGAGGTTTTTGGAGGAGAGAATAGTTTGGTTGATTGATGGGGGTGAGGGAACAGAATAGTATGCTCTCAGGTTTAGAAAGATTTGGTTTTAGGAAATGGACATCCATACTGAGATGTCGGTAAATTAGTGTCCCTATTTTCGGACACCAACCAATCCATGGTAAATTCTCTCCCCACCCCCAAGCGCACGGGAGGTGATTGACCGCATCACTGAATTAACGATGCACACGTTTCCGAGTGGGGCTGTGAAGAAGGGGTGCGGGTCTCAGATTATCCTTGGCTCTATGCTGTGGCGTGTGAGACAGCTGATCCCCGCCCCTGCTTCCTGGAAGCTGAAAAATACCATCTGATCTGAAGGAGAGAGGGCTGTTGCTAAAGGTACAACTTATGTGGGAGGAATTGATCATTACCTGAGGTTTGTTATTTCAGTGGGCTTATGTAAAAATGTATTACCACTTTAACCACTTCAGCTCCAACAACGTACCTGCACGTTGCTGGAGTTTGAACTGTTATACCGGAATGATGCCTGCTAACTAGCCGCTTGATTTCTATTGCTAGAAGCAGGAGGGGATGTGTCACCAACCCCCGCCCTCTCTTTGACCCCAGATCCCTTCATAAAGAGTACCTGTCATGTCACGTGACTGTTTCTTTCACAAGGGATTTTTACATTCCTTGTGACAGCAATAAAAACGATTTAAAAAATAAAATTAAAGCGACCTGTGAAAAAAAAAAAAAAAAAAAATAATTAAAAAAAATATTTTAATTGCCCTGTTCGCCCATGCTCCTGCGCGCGAACAGCGATCGGCCCACACATGTGAGGTATTACCGCAAATGTCAGAGCATGGGCAGTAATTATAGCACTAGGCCTCCTATGTAAATCTAAAGTGGTAACCTGTAAAGGCTTTTAAAGCATTGCCTATGGATAGTAAAAGTTTACGTTTTGTCACCATTGCAAAGGCATGCAAAATTTTAAACCGTGATGTGTTTGATATCTATTTATTCGGAATAACAGATTTTATATTTTGCAAAACAAATTAGGTTAGGTATTTGTAGGTTGTTTTTTTTTTTTTGTTTTTTTTTTATTTGCACAAAAATTCAAAAAAGTTTTTTTTCCCAGAAAATGACATTTGAAAAACAGCTGCACAAATACCATGTGACATAAAAAAAAATGCAAAATCCACCAATTTATTCTCTAGGCCCTCTGCTTTAAAAAAATATATAATGTTTGGGGGTTCTAAGACATTTTCTAGCAACAAATACTGATTTTTAAATGTGAACAGTGCCAGGAATGGCTTAGTTTGGAAGTGGGTAAAATTTACCATTTTCAAAAATGTGTTAACTATATCTGCACAGTATAAAAATTGCTAATCTAGTCTAATATTTTCATATGACCAGTTTACCTCCATAGGGTAACTCTGTTGAAGCCTGCCTGTTGGCATCTTGCTTGTGTGGAATTTTCTGATAGTTGTAACAATCCACATCAGAGCTTGTACTGGATGTGTGAAAACATACCCCTGCTCTCCTTGTTTAGTAGAAATAACAGATGGACTTGAGATTATTTACTTTTAGAACCACACATTATCAAATTCTAAATTAAAAATCTCGCTCCCCAAACAGGTTGACTACAAAGGCCCATAATATGTTTATGTATTGCTCAACTTTTTGCAGATACCAAAATATAGAAAAAAATGTGTAGTTTGAAGAATTTTGCATGGATTCACAGACTGTAGATAGAATATATTTCTAGATTTACTCTGCTCTAATAAATTCCATTTGTCAAATGTTTGTGTATCCTTGGCAGCATTTTGCCAATTGTGTGTTCAGGAAACTGGTTTAGTGTGATTATAAAATGAGTTCATGTGAGGTCTGCATGCAAGGACCTGTTTGGTTCTTTCAAATGCTGTAAATAACTTCATACTGTGTTTGACTTTTAATAGTATTTTCTTCTTTAGGGTTTATTGTCATTCCTTAGTGCCCCTTTGATAGGAGCATTGTCTGATGTCTGGGGAAGAAAATCCTTCTTGCTGCTAACCGTGTTCTTCACATGTGCTCCTATTCCACTCATGAAGATCAGCCCATGGTATGTAGAGACAGTTATATCTTTTTACTGCCAATATAAATACATAGTTGTGCATACAAAAGTGTATAGGGGAATGGTCCATGCTAGGATTTCGGGTGTTTTATTTTGGCTTGCTTAAAGCAGAACTCCAGTATTTATTTAAAGGATAAGTTCACCTTTTGGACAGAGGTAAAAAAAATGTGCATTTATTATTTTTGTCCAAAGGAGCCTGTAAAGCATTGTACCAGTGATCAGTAGATTGCTGATGTCATGCAGGTCTCCTGCAGACCTGTAAAAAAATCTGCTTGCCGTACGAGATGTATGGTCAAGCAGATATACTGGCAGGAAGCTTCAATGAACTACCACAGCACTCCACAGTGCCGTGGTAATTCATTGAAAACTTCAAGCCAACAGCTGCTAAGGCTGTTAGGACTTGCAGTTCATTTATTCATGGAAGCTGTTTTCAATTCTGACAGTACAGGGAAACGTCTCCCTGTATTATCTGTCAGAAGGAGGGGGGGGCAGTGGGCGCGGCTGCAGCTATGAGAACATGTTACATGTTCCCAAAGGTGAACTTATCCTTTAAAGCCACATTCTTATGGTGCTGCAACTGAGAACTCTAGCTCAGTATAGCCTCCTATAGAATCTTGTCATTCACCCACACCCTCCTCTCTCCTCCCTCCTCCATACACAAAACACTTTGTAGTCTTTTCACTGAACGCCTTGCTGTGCATGCTGTGAGAACAGAGCTGTACCTGTGTGGCAGACTCTGCAGAGTGGTAATTCACAATTTGTAATGAAAACAAGTGTACATGTCCTGTTTTACACCTCTGCGTTCTAGAGGAAACCCTAAAAAAGTGATGTGGCGCACCAATAGAAGTCTACAGTCCTCATAAAAGCACCATAATCTCCTTGATGGTTTATTATTTATTAATTTTATATGGAATTTTGAATTAAGACAACACTGGTAATGTATTAGTTTGCTGAACAGTTTTAATTTGGTGTCCTAATTTTTTTTTCCTTAATCTTTATATTTTTTTAAGGTGGTACTTTGCTGTTATATCTGTATCAGGAGTGTTTGCGGTCACCTTCTCTGTGGTGTTTGCTTATGTGGCTGATATAACACAGGAACATGAAAGGAGCATGGCGTATGGACTGGTGAGTGGACCATGTTGTCACTGGCTACAGCTTGTTCAAAAACCGTTGAAACCAATTTCAATCTTATGCACTGTATGTGTATTCTAAGCAGTCCAGTCTATCTTCTAGTAAAGTCTCAACCACCTGTAGACAAACAAGGTCAACTGACTCTCAGGATAGTAACATCACTGGCAGTGGAATTGATTGCATTTCAATCCACATGTCTGAAATAAGATGTGCCCTCATTTGCCTAAACCTAGACTGGAAAATACAGCTGTCCTACGCAGAGGGGGGCATACAGCGAACAGGCTGTGCTGTGCATGGTACAGTTGTATAGAAGATTGCAGGCTCTCCTTGATGGAGTACTGTTTATTTTCCATTTAATAAGGCTAGGTTCACACCTATGCAGTTTGCGTTTGATCCATTTCTGCAGTGCTTTTTGCTTTTTTGCACATGTGTTTTTGATGTGTTTTAGGGTTTGTCTTTTTCTTGTTAAACAGATTTAAAACGTATCAAAAACGCACTACATGCTTTTCTGCAGCATTTCAGTTGAAGTCTATAGAACCAAAAACGCAACTTTTTTGAGTTAAAAAAAAGTCTCTGATCCTTTCTAAAAAACGCGCCGGGTGAATACGTGGAGATGTGAACGTTTCCCATAGGAAATCATGTTAAATAGACTGTAGTGCATTTCTGCCAAACGCTGTGGAAACGCTTCAGTGTGAACCTAGGGTATCTGTTGTGAAACTTTTTTTTTTTTTTTTTTTAGCCCCTGCTATGTCATTGGTGGTATTTTGGATAGCACAATTATGATGCACACTTGCTTTGTGCATTGCTGTAGTGGAAAATCTTCATGTTTTCTAACATGAATAATCACTCCTGTGTAGTCATGGCTGCCCACTTGTCTGTAAATTGTTCGTAAATTACATTTTTTGCAAATCATCCAAAGAAATACCTTCATAAACACATAAAGCACCTAAATCAGAATCACTGTTACATAGTTCAGTTGTTAGCCAGTAGTAAGTAGAAGAGCAGTGTAGCTTTTTGTTATTTACTCAGATAAGTCATCTTCAAGAACTGGATATTATAATTCTTTGTGGATTATTCACAGAGATATTTACATTATGAAATGTGCATCTTATTACATTTTTCTGGGAATGCTCATTCCATAGTTCCTATAATTGTAGACAGTAGTGTAAACTTTGTTCTAAACAGGTATGACTAGAACATAAAGATTGTGATTAAATGTGATAGATGTGTGATATTGGTTTTTAACGCTTAGATTTGCATTTTGTCATCTTTTCTTAAAATTATTAAGTATGTTTGTCTTCCTTTGGTATATTAGACAAGTTTTCCACTTTAAAGCTGATATGCATGTTTCCTGTCACTTTAAATAGTTTGTTTGGACAAGCTTGTTCCAAACAAAATATTTCCTTCACTAATTGCTGAAGCGGCTTGAAGCACTGTATGAGCTGGGGTCTGGCTGTGAGATAGAGACTTTCCTGTTTCACACCCAGAACAAAATAGTTGGGCTGAGCATCTCTCAGCCAATCATAGGCAGCTTTGTATTCTATGAATAAAAAGTTTCCTCTGACTGACTCTGTGATCGTGACATCATCAGCCCACTTCTCTTCCTCCGCTAATCAGTGAAGGGAAAATAGAGTCAGGCTGAGCAGCACTCAGCCATTCATAGACAGACAGCTTCGAATTCTGTGCATGACTACAAAGCTTTCTCTGATTGGCTGAGGCAGGCTGATGACGTTAGGATTGCTGCCCAGCTCGACTGTTTTGTTCCTGGTGGGAGACTTTAAGCCTCACAGCCAGAACCCACCCTTTAAAGCTGTAGTAAATGTGGTATTCTGTTCCTTCAGAGCTCATGCATCGGAGATGTCACCAGCTGCTGCTCTCTAGAATATCTCCTAAATGGTGAATATTTAGGAGATACTAATTTTACCTACAGGCAAGGTTTATTATAGGTTTACTTGTAGGTAAAAATAAAAATTGAGACTTTACTACCACTTTAAAGTGTGTCTGAACCCAAAAACTAATTTTTATATATATATATATATATATATATATATATATATATATCTCTCTCCAGTCTTTTTAGATTTGGTGGCTGCATTAGTTTTCTTTTTTCAGGCTTATTTGCTGTATTTTTATCTGGTTATTCTGCTAGTAACGCATTTTTTTCTTGGGGTGACAACATTCACTGTACCTGATCTATGGAGGGGCAATGTTGTCAACTTATGATAGGAAGTGCTAAGACTGCAAATTCCATGGCTCCTCTCTACCTAATCTCTATAACATAGAGGGAGATGACCTGTCGTCCATGGAAGTGAGCTAGGTGGAGGTAAAAATGTTTGAGATAGCAATTACAGCGTGCACAGAGCATCCCTGAATTCCTGGTAGGATCCACAGGTATCTTTTTTTTGCACTTATCAAGTAGATTTAGAAAAACTTTCAAAGGTATATTGGGTAGAATAGGGACAGGTTATACCGTTGCCGGTCTTTTTTGCTTTCTGTGTACTATTGGGGAACGTTTCATTTTACTTCCTGTCCCTTAGATGGTTGTCTGCAGAGCAAATGATGCATACTAGCACATTATAACATTTTCTTGCAGGGGGCATGTTTTTTTTTTTTTTTTAATATAGTTTAACACTTTACTACGGTTTTTTACAAGCCAGTTTGAAACAAATAAGAGAAGTTTGTTGTTGCGGTTTACATTCACTTTACGTTTGGGGAAAAAAATATTAGTTGGAGTTTATGTATGTACCCAAGAACTGTTTAGGTTACTTTTTACCAAATCGATTAACCATCTTTTACTAGATACCTGACAGAGCATGTGGTTACCATGGGCAGCACAGGCTGTGATTTCAGAAGATGCTCCCCTTGTGCCTTAGGCATCATTCACACTCACAATTATTTTAACTTCTCTAGAAGCTAGCATTGTTTTGGCCAATAAGAATACTCGATGCTTGTAAAAGTGTGTACTGCGTTTACCCATGTTAGGTGTTTGAATGTTTGTTTCATTGGCCAGAATAAATCCGTTTTTCTGGCCATTGAAATAAATAAATGCTCAAGCACTAAACACGCCTAGCGTTAACACACACACTTTCATGTGCTTAAGCACATAAAGCGTTTTTTCATCCAAAACACTGCTGCTTCAGGACACCCTGGCAGTGTTTTTTTTTTTGTTTTTTTTTTCCTTCTTCCTGTCACTAAACTCTCCTGTCAGAAAATGCTGCTAAAATCCTGTGTGTGCAAGAACACATAGGATAACATGCAGGAGAGTTAAAGGAGTAAAACAAAATGCATGATGCCCCTAGGAGCAGCTGTATAAACGTTCCATGTGCATGAGGCCTTATGTGTATTGTTAAGTTTTAAACACTCCTTCTTTTGCAGGTGTCTGCCACATTTGCAGCTAGTCTTGTCACTAGTCCAGCCATTGGAGCTTACCTCAGTCATGCATATGGAGACTCCCTTGTGGTGCTACTAGCAACAGCAATAGCGTTGCTTGACATCTGTTTCATCTTGGTGGCTGTTCCAGAGTCACTTCCAGAGAAAATGAGGCCTGCATCATGGGGAGCCCCAATTTCATGGGAGCAAGCCGACCCTTTTGCAGTAAGTGGCCACATTTGTTCATGGTTATGTTATGCCAGATTAATTATGCTTTGAGTCTTGTTTACACATTTTTGTGATTTGACACACCTTTCTTGCACTGAGCTGTGGAATGAGGTGACAAGTGGCTCCTATTGTGTGTGTTTGATTTGTGGTGCTCAAACAGCAGTGCTGCATTTTTCTGTCCAAGGCTTGGCCCAATATATCTAAATGTGTTATGCCTAGCTTCTGTTCTGCACACATCAGATCATCCTTCTCATTTTCTATTTTGTGTGTACCATCCTTCCTAGCACCAGTTAGTACATTTCTTTTTTTTTTTTTTTTTTTCCGAATGATCATTAGACAATACTTAAGAATTGAAGGAAATCTTTGTATGTATGTTTAAACAATATAGAAGCTTGTACATATTTCCTTAATGATTTTTATGTAGGATAGCTGTTGCTTGCTTTTTTTTTTTCTTTTCTTTTTTTTTTTATATGTGGATGCTTTAAAATTATAAAGGCTGTATCTCAACTGTACACTACAGGACCATATCTACAGCTGATATAACTCTTATTGTGTAATGCTTCTTGATCTTGCAAAGTTTTCATTTACCCAGATTAAGCTTACCCCCAAATGTATTTAGCTGAATTTTAAACTGCTTGTTCAGTTGAGCTTTAATGTTTATATGTAAAATAAAGGTTTTATAAATATAGTAAAAAGAGACATAAACAGTTTAAAAACCTATCAACTTGAATAATAAAACAAACAGACCCAAGACCATCATAGTTTACCTTTCATGAAAGCTTAGATCTAAACACTTTTGCTTAAAGAATCAGAAGGCTTATCTGTGTGTGGATGTACTATTGGAGGTTAGAGAGGCTTTAAGCCCCAGTTCACACTGTAACCTGCATGTGAATCGCACAGGAACTGCATGGCATTCCTGTGTGATTCAGTGTGGTGCGATTTGAGCCCATTCATTTTTAATGGTCTCAAATTGCACTGCATGGCACCAAAAACATTTGAAACCGCACCGCAACTGGATCGCATGGTCGTTTTTGTACCATGCGATCTGGTGCAGGCAAACCGCAGGGCATTTTCAATCCATTTGGGATGTCGTTAACTTTGTCTTGACACCCAGAGCAGATCGCAAACACAGTACGATTGCAGTGTGGTGTGTGAAAGGCCACAGATTGTGTAGTCTCCAGCACTGCATAAGTGTCAGCCCAGGCTAAATGTTTTCTGTTCCTAATATATCTAATGTGTTTTTATCGGCTCTGGAGAGCGTAATCGTGCAGATAATGGTAAAATATTTAATGTGCAGTTTGCACAGGGTTACATCGGTATCCAGAGGGTGAAGAACGTGCAAGTGATTTTACTTTGTCCGTTATGCAGTATTCAGTTGGGGTTACAGTTGATGTTCATGTTAAAGCATAAGTGCACTTTCAAACAAAAGTGGCCTACCTAAATACTTGTATCTTTCAAGTAATATCATCTCTGTTCTCTAGATTATTTTAAAGTCTAGTTTGCATATGGCCAAGCTGAATTATTCTACCGTGTTTCCCCAAAAATAAGACACTGTCTTATATTATATTTTTTTTGGCTCAAAAAAACACACTAGGTCTTATTTTCAGGGGATGTATTATTTTTCCATGAAGAAGAATACGGTACACATTTATTGTTAAATGAAAATAAAGGAAATTTATTACCTGTATACGGTACGGTAGTGCGGTAGTTGTCAACACAAACCAGACAAACTGTGAATCCTACAGTATCAAGAATTAACTCATTTATTCAATGACAATCATGTCATCATCTTCTGGAACATCATCATAACAATCATCATAACAGGCAGTGTCACCAGAGACAGACCAGCACTCACCACCTTCACCGCGTCCTGTCCGCTCTGATCCTCCTGTTCTTCTACACGCATCTGCGAAAGTCTCCTCCTCTCTCCGCTCACTCCGACCTCCGCTCTGCCTCCACACAGCAGTGACGTCAGGACTCCGCATAACGTCACTGGTTGCTAGACGCCAGTCGGGGCGGCCCTAGCAACCAGTTTACGGTAAATTAATTTTCATTCTGAGACAGAGCCTAGGGGGGCCTTATTTTCGGAGGGGATGCCTTATATTTCACCCAGAAGGAAACCTGTAAGTAGGTCTTATTTTCGGAGGATGTTTTATTTTCGGGTAAACACGGTAGTTACCCATGAGAATGACATAGCACACTTATCAGCCACTCTTTGTAGACAACAGTGCATTGGGCCATTTTAATGTGCAATATCCTAAGCTTGTACAACTAAAGTGTCCATACTCCTTACTGTCTACAAGATAGCTGTACTGTATTACAAAGAGCACAAGGAGCGCAGTCCCTTCTCAATTTGTTCTCTTTGGTATGTTTGATCACATCACTGTAGCATATTATGCTTGTGTCTGAACTTAATATTATGCCAACACATGGCAGATGCCAGCTCTACATTATTTCCACTTGTCATATTGGCGTTGTATTTTATGAACCTATTGTACCCTATCACAGATGCTGCCTGCTCAGCATCTCATTGAAACAATTTCCACCAGGTCACGTAGCAGACTGAGCCACTCTTCCCTGCTTCTCAGTAAAGGGACCCTCCCTTGCCTTATCCTGCTGTGAGCTGCACATGCCTTCTGCCTTGCCCACTATTTAAATAATAGTGGCCTCCATTTTTTATTTAACCACCCTTCCTTCCCGTTAAGCTTTATAAGGAACCAGATTTTCACCCTTTCCATAATACAGGGCTTCAGAGAGGGCTGAATACAGTTAACTCTTTAACCACTTGCCCTCCTGAGGATTTACCCCCCTTCCTGACCAGGCCTCTTTTTGCTACTCGGCGCTACACTAATTCAACTGATAATTGCGCGGTCATGCAATGCTGCACCCAAACGAAATTTACGTCCTTTTTTTCACACAAATAGAGATTTCTTTCGGTGGTATTTGATCACCTGTGCGCTTTTTATTTTTCACGCTATAAACAAAAAAATACCCAAAATTTTGAAGAAAAACAATATTTTTTACTTTCAGCTGTAAAAAATATATAGTAAACTCAAAGTTAGTTATAAATGTATTCTGCTACATGTTTTTGGTAAAAAAAAATCCCAATAAGTGTATATTGATTGCTTTGTGTGAAAGTTATAGCGTCTACAAACTATGGTATATACTGCAATTTACGCCATTTTTTTGCTATACAGCGCTGCGCTAGTTTAACGGACAATTGCGCAGTCATGCAATACTGTACATAAATGAAATGTACATCCTTTTTTTCCCACAAATTGAGCTTTCTTACGGTGGTGTTTGATCGCCTGTGCGTTTTTTATTTTTTGCACTGTAAAAACAGGCTGACCATTTTGAGGAAAAAAACAATATTTTGGACTTTTTGATATAAAACATGTCCAGTAAAAAAAAATTTAAAAATCAAATTTAGTCATGAATTTCTGCCAAAATGTATTCTGTGACATGCCTTTGCTTAAAAAAAATCCCAATACGTGTAAATTAATTGGTTTACATGAAAGTTATAGCGTCTACAAATGGCAGGAAAGATACTGGGATTTTTTTTTTTATTATTATACTAATAATGGCGGCAATCAGCAACTTATGGCGGTGATCATCGATTTATGACAGTGATCAGCGACTTATGGCGGGACTGCGGCGGACATTTTGACACTGGGGGGGAACTGACTTGAGGTCACTGACATCCCCAGTGACACTAATACAGTGATCAGTGCAAAAAAAAAAACACTGACACTGTACTAATGGCACTGGGGAGGAAGGGGTTAACTTTTATTAGGTAATGAAAGAGTTAACTGTGTGAGGGGAGTGTTTTACTAGGGGGCGGGGGGTGTGTACTTCACAGGAACAGGCTGATCCCCAGAGATGAAGTCTTCTCTCAGGTTCAGCGTCCTCTGAACTGACAGCAGGGCTGCATTGTTTACATTGCAGCTCTGCTATCTGTCAGTGATTACTTGTAATCGCCGGCAGCCGGCAGGAAATGACCCGCCGGGAGCCGGTGATGGACTCCCACTGCCACGATCGGCGGGACGGGTAGGGCGGGCACGCGCTTCGCGCGCGCCTCCTACTTGTTTAGCACAGCGACATTAAAAGATGGCGCTGTGAGTACAGGTGCTGCCCTGCCGCAGTAAAAACACTGCAGCGGGTTGGCAAGCGGTTAAACTACTTTCTGCAAAAGACTTTTAGTGATCTGTGAATTCTAGATAAGTGTTTACAATGGAACTTTTAATGTAAAGACCCGTACTTTGCTGACTGAAATGCAACTCGCATCAGTTGTTAAATAATTCAGATGGTTGAAAAGGAACAACTTACTGTCAGACAGGTTTCCCATGGTTTTCCAAGGAAATTAAAAAAGTACACCACTTCTGAGAGCTCTTTTCTGCGAGGCATGGTTCACATCAGACAGTGCTTCTTGAAACCAGTAAACCCAAAACAGGTGTGTGTTTTTTAAGGGCAGGACAGCTGTCAGCAACACATCCAATATCATCACACTGATTGGAGTCAAGGTTGGCTCACTCCTGGCTCCAATTAGCTCTGGGAGAAGTCATTAAGCTAGGACCTCACATACTTTTTCCTCCCTGCACTGTGAATGTTTACATGTTATGTGCAGTTAAACCATGGCAACATCTAATGTTTGTGTAGTATTATGTTCAGCAGACTGTGTTCTTCTATTGTTGTGACTTAGATGACGTTCAGAGCACATTTTATGCCCAATTCATGCAAAACTCCACGTAATCCCAAGGGGTTCACATACTTTCTTGCAACTGTAAAAAGAGGACAGTGTAATGCAGATTTCAACTGCATATGCATTACATTTCATGCAGACATCAGGGGCAGTCTTGTGTAACTAAGAGGTAGAGCTAAGACATGGGTCAAGGGTCCAAGGTGGCACTGTTATAACGATGTGTGGTAGACCAAGGTCACTGCTGCATTCCCAAAAAAATGATCTCTGCACAGGGAAAATTTAATCAGAAGTCCTTAGGAGTTATGAGATGTGCTGCTATGAAAATTACTTTAAAACCCATTCACTGGTTGCAGTTAAGTGCTACTTCTTCCAGCCTTTTAGAGCAGCTTAATGGGAAACATCTAGACTGATTTCTGGCAGGTATTGTATACACACAGGAAGCTAAACACTCTCCTGTTTTTATGTGGTCAGTATGGCATGACCCTGAAAATGTCAAGGTGCTGGGTTTTGTGTCGGTAGATGAACCACCCCTAAATGCTCCCACAATGAAAGTAAACCTTCCCTAAGAGGAATGTTAGTTTTCTGATTGCTATGTTGTCACTATGGATTCAATACTTTGTGTTAATAATGTATCAAGATTGCACAGTGGCTTAGTGGTTTGCACATCTGCCTTACCTACAGCCTTGGTGTCATCAATTCAGATCCTGGTTCAGATACTATCTGTTTGAGGTTTGTATGTTCTCCATATGCTTCTGTGGGTTTTCCCAGGGTACTTCAGTTTCCTCCTACACGCCAAAGATATACTAGTAGGTTAATTGGCTCCTGTCCAATTTGATCCTAGTTTGGTGTGTGTGAGAGATGCACTTCAGAATGTAAGCTGCTTGAGGCAAGGGAATGTATTGTACATAAGCGCTGTGTAAATTGTCAGCGCTATATAAATACGTGGAATAAATAAAACAAAGTAAGAGGGTCAGCATGACATCCAAGCAACTTACATTTGTACAATGAGAAGTCAGTAATGGCAGCCTTTGTTCATCATGACTGGTTTCTTTTAACACGGCACATACTAAGGATCAGTTTCTAATTTTCAGGCCACAGCCCTAAGTTGCAGAGTCACTGTGGTTTGTCCATACATTTAGCTCCACAAGTGAAGCTTAAAGGTAAATAATAGTGTGTTTTCAGTGAGCACATTTGAATTTTTAAATGGTTAAAAAGAAAAATCTAAGAAAAAAAGTGACTTTTAAATGTTCACTTGCACCTGTTCTATATTTTGTTACTGTTAGAAATGTGTAGATTAGCCACTACGGACATAGTAGATTGGCCAATACCATCCCTGTACCTCACTGCCTGAAGGTGAGGGTGCCGTTGCTGATGTCTTCTCCTAAAATGCTAGGTCCTTCAATTGCTACCATGGTGAATGACTTAGTCCAACACTTTACAAGTCCTCGACCTGGAACAGTAAGGCCGGGTTTACCAGTTGTGCTGAGGTTTGATAGTGTGGATACAGTGCAGCAAGTGATTTTTGTCACCCTAGCAGAGGTAAAGTGTTACTGGCAGAATCAGCAGGTGACAATAAAGTAGTAAAGTCTGAAAAAAAGTAAACTAATTCAGCCGCTACATCTATGGACTGGTAGGCTGAAATGCAAGTTACATATGATATCACTTGGAATTAAATTTTATTTACATGAAATGGGCATTTAACTATTGAAAGCCTACATGAGATAACATGTTATTGTACAACCATATCTAATAGATTATTTTTCTGATCTCAATAATTATTATTATTATTGTACAGGATTTATTAGCGTCAACAGTTTGCTACAGCGATTTACAATATAACGGGAGACAATACAGTTCAATACAAGAGGGTTAGGAGGGCCCTGCTCCTTGGATCTTACAATCTAAGACTTGGTTTCCATCAGTCTGAACATAGGGGTATTGCAAGTAGCCGTAAAATCTGTACCGTATCTTTGCAAATTGACGTTGACTTATAAAATATTGTAAATATTGAATATACAGTATCAGAAACAAAGACACATGATGATGAAAATTGATTTAAGTTTTTGTGAATTGAGCCTATAGTTTTGTGCTCCCTTTGTGGAGGAACTGGCTTTGTGTTTAATTCTGGTTTTGTAACAGGAACACGTAGCTGTCTTGTTTTGCTCATTGCCTGGCTGCATTTGTTTTATGTCACAATTGGTACAGTTTAGATGGTTTGTGGCAAACTTTGTCAAGTTTTGTAGCCTTTTTGGCTAGATGTAAACTGTACTGCATAATTGGATCTTGTTACTTGGACTACTAGCATGTTCTAAAGGTGGCAATGGACATTCAAGGATCTTTACCTGATCAAGACTGTGAGTAGCCAGCTAAATGATAATATAAGGACAGGTTAGAAAATGTTGTAGCTGTCTTTTTGTCCTGAGATGAGTTGGCATTGGAGAGGTGCATCTTCATGCTTCCTCTAAATATTCTTAGCATAAACAGGAACTTTATGATGACTTTATTTCATGTATGGATGGACCAAAGAACCTCTTCAGATAGTTGTCTTGCTCCTGCACATCTGCCTACTATCAACACCTATTGTAAGGTTAAAGTGTCAGTGGATGTTAGACAACAGACTTTTTTTGGGTGGATATGGCATAGATCCAATGTCTGTGGAACATCTGTTAAACAGCCTGAATAAGGGGGCGATCGCCACAGCAGCATCAAATCCTAGCATTTTTGGATGCCTGGGAGGCACCGGTGCAGCATCCAGCCCCACTGCCTGCAGCCTGTTAAAATTTATGAAAGGTTGAAATGCATGAGGGCTGGATGAGGAGTATTATTATTATACAGTATTTATATAGCGCCAAAAGGTTTGCTCAGTGCTGTACATAATAGTGGGAGACAGAACATGAGACAATACAGTAACAAAACAATACACGAGGGGTTCGAGGGCCCTGCTCTTTCGAACTTACAATCTAGGAGGGAGGGGAAAGTGGTACAGGAGGAAGTGGCTGTGGGGGATGGAGTGGTAGGAGGAGTGGAGGAGATCGGCTGTTAGGTGAGGGTGGGGTAGGCTTCCCTGAAGAGATGGGTTTTCAGGGTGTGCCTAAAGGTGAAGAGGGTAGGTGACAGTCCGTTGGATTGGGGTAGTGAGTTTCAGAGGATGCGGGAAGTCCTGGAGAAGTCCTGCAGTCGGGCATGGGAGGTGGAGACCAGGGAGCTAGAAAGTAGGAGGTCTTGTGAGGAGCGAAGATTATGGGTTGGGTGGTATTTGGGTATCAGGTCAGTGAGGTAGTTTGGGGCAGCGTTATGAATGGGTTTGTATGTCAGTGTTAGTATTTTGAATTGAATGCGTTGGGCAATCGGAAGCCAGTGGAGGGAATGACAGAGGGGGGTGGCAGAAGCAGAGCGGTTGGTAAGGTGGATGAGTCTGGCCGCTGAGTTCAGGATAGACTGAAGCGGGGATAGTCTGTGATGAGGTAGGCTGGTGAGAAGGGAGTTGCAGTAGTCCAGACGTGAGATAATAAGGGAGTGAACAAGTTATTTAGAAAGTGTCTGGGGTTAGGAACGTATGTATTTTGGAGATGTTGCGGAGGTGGAGTCTGCATGAGTTTTCAACAATTGGACATGGGGTTGGAAGGACAGGTTTGAGTTTAGAGTGACACCTAGGACTTTGGCTTGCGGGGTGGAATTGATGGTGGCGTTGTTGGTCATGATGGTGGGGGGTGGGGGGGGGGGGGGGGGCGTGGGCTGGGAGGAAGATTAGGAGCTCGGTTTTTGAAAGGTTCAGTTTGAGGAAATGGAGCGACATACAGTCTGTCGTTCAGCAGGTGGGTGGTAGGGGCGGAGACTGAAGGGGTGAGGTGAGGGGTGGGGAGGTAAATTTGCGTGTCATCAGCGTAGAGGTGATAGTTGAAGCCGTGTGAGTGTATCGGTTTGCCGAGGGAGTACCGAGCGCTACTCGTATTTAGGGCCATACGATCCAAACGTAGGAATTCTGCATTTGTGACCCTGAACGCATATGGCATTAAATGTGAGCACCTTGATGTAGTATCCAGCCTCTGAGTATTTCAGCCTATTATAGATTTTGACAGACTGCTGGCAGTGGGGCTGGGCACTGCAGTTCTGCCTCCTGGTTGCCCCAAAAATGCTGGGATTTGACACTGACAGGCCAAAGCATCCATGTTCTCGGAGAGCAAAATTATTGGGATGGTTGTTCGAAAACCATGTTTTCCAAAACCCCTGGATTGTCTGTTTGCAGCTTCCTCTTCCTTCTATATTGTCAGAAGAGAATTTCTCTTGAAGTTTAACACTTCTGTTTAGGGAGAAACTAGCTCAAAAAAACAATGCATGTCCTGCACAGTTCTTTTTGTTTCATTTTATAACCCTGTTTTAGTTATTTTTATAACTTTGTTTTTCTTTTTTTCAGTCTCTGAAGAAGGTTGGCCAGGATTCCATTGTGTTGCTTATCTGTATCACAGTGTTCCTCTCCTACCTCCCTGAGGCTGGACAGTATTCCAGCTTTTTTCTGTACCTCAGACAGGTAAGCAATATAGGTGTCCCTTTAGGATGTGTGATAGGGCAGGTAATAGCATATTTGGCTGTCTTTGTGAAAGTTTGAATATGTTTTTGTTAAAGTGAGCATTTCATTGGAAAAATATAGATTGTAACACTATTATCTATTTGTCTACCCAGTTATGCAAATTGTGGTGTTTTTTTTGGTTAAATTAATCTTCCCCACCCCATGCTATGATTTGTATCAGCATCCAAAAATTGTGCAGACTTAAGGCAGCTGAAATCCTGCAAATGTTCTGCTCACATGGTTATGTGATGTGTGAGCAGTTTCCTTCCCCTCATGACACAGCTGTGTGCCTGCCTGAAATACCAGCAACACCTAAAAGTCAAGAAAGAGAAAACGTGTTCAAATTCATATACCCTTTAGATTGTCATATGTCCTGTATACCTTTTCCTTCTCTTGGCTACCCAGTGGCCTGTAGGTTACATCTTGGCAAGCAAAGGGCTAATATGAGAGTTTTTTTTTTTTTCTTCTTTTTTTTATAAAGAAATATTTATTATGTCTGAGCCTGGTAGGTGGGTGAGTCAGCCTATCTTTTTGAATGTCTTGGATGCTTCATCAAGATTTTGATAATTCCCTAGTCTTTTCCTGCCCATCAGAGAGCTTTGAGTGTTCCCTTCCACCTTTTCTTATTGCACAGATGCTGGTTGCATTACCTTGGCTATAATATGTAGAATGTAACAAAGCTATTTTAAAACAAAGGTCTGTCTAAAAGTAGAAAACTTAAACAACTTGTCCACAGTCTGTTTAAAGAATAGGTTCACCTTTGGGAATGTTAAATGTTCCAACCATTTTTAGGATCTTCTCCCCGCACCCGCTGTCACAGTTTGAAAACAGTGGGGCCATGCAGGGCTCTGCACACACTGCTGTGTCATTCATTCAGAGGTTCTATGAATGAATGCCCACAAGTACCATCAGCCTTTGTGGTTGAGTGTTTGCAATTCTCAATGATCTGCGGGGGCGCTGGTGAGCTTCCTGTCATTCGGCAACTGCCTGCCCATGTCGGAAGTACGGGCAGACCACTACACTGACAGCCTACAGGAGCCTAACATTGCAACCATGTTCTTCTGACCACTGGTGCAATACTTTACAGGCTCCTAAGAAAAAAACAAATAAAAAGTAAATGCACATTATTTTACCTGAAAAAAATGTGCATTCATTATTTTTTTTAAGGTGAACTTATCTTTTAACATTCCCCAGCATGACGCCCCATGCTGTAGATATTTTATTAAACGTCTTCTCTTCTCAGAACAAGCAGCTGACACTTCACGCAGCTGCCTGATCTCTGTTCAGGCTGTGGCTGGCAGTCAGGATCCCTGCTCAATGTTTCTGTCAGCTTTGATTGAAAAAAGAAAAAATATTTAAAAATATTTGTGCTAATTTTTCAGCCTTGAATGAAAACCATTTTTTTTAAATTTAAATAGTGTTCTAAATAAAAAAACCCTAGTGTGTTCTTAAAAATAAAAAAAAATTGTCATAGAATTGCTAAGGTAACAGACATATGATGATATATTGTTGTATTAGTGTCTGTAAATATTCTAATACAGTTACACCAGCTTAAAGTGGAACTGAAGTCTCCATACCTACCTGTCAAACGGTCCTGCACCGGTATTTTCTCATGAGAAAGAATTAAAAGAAAAATGCTAGGGCTCTATTGGATGTGAAAAAACATAGCAGCTAGCACAATACCATAATAAATGGCATAATAAACAACATAAACAAAACAATAGTGCAGCGCTAGGATAAATTAAAATGTTGTGAAATACAGTAATGCAATATATCAAACTCTTGTGTCACCACAAATTGAAAATAATAAAACAAAGGAATCAAAATGTGAAGCCAAAAACTGTAAATTTAGTGGTTCTAAGATTGAGGGAAATGGCAAATGTGGATACCAAAAATGCCACCAAATTTCTTAATGATGAACCACACAGCACCTGTGTGTACAACAGAGGGAAGCTTACAAGAATCACATGACCCCCAATTAAGTGTGGTCAACCAGTGCTTGTGTATCAATCCAAGATACCCAGCTTTCCTCAAAACCACATGTCAAATGATGGTATGCTCAGTTGGACATAGTATCATGAAAAATAAATGCTCTCCATAGTGTAATCCCGATTAAAACACCAATTTAATGTGGTAAATGCACTTGCAATGAAAAATTACAACCAGGCACTTCAAATAAACAACTCGTTCCAGAATCCAAGATGGCCACGGCAGGATCACTTATGCGTAGTGGCGTGTGCTCCACCTCTGCCCTTCTTATGAGTGCCGGTCTTCAAGCCTCTTCTTTGGCTGACAGAGGATGATGTTACTCCTGGCACTCGGAGATTGGCCCGGCACTGTCAGCTAAACTGCGTTTACAGCAAGCAGGCAGGTAGGGGCTTTTTATTGCACAAGAGACCGTGCTTATCTCTTTCTGCAATATAAGCCTGCTCGCTACTTTTTACAGCAGGGCTTCAGTTCAGCTTTAAGTTTTTCTCAGGAAACACAAGAAATAGCTAAATATAATGAGTTGAAATTATAGTATTTTATTACAATTTTTTGGCAAATGATATTTCCTTAGGCCTGTTTTAGAATTATAATGAATCCCTGATTCCCAAACTGCTAAGTGCATCAAATGTCAATTTAGTGATGGCCTTACCCGCTTCAGCCTTCTGCATGCTCCTATTAGCCCATCCCTTGGATGTGTGGCCTCACGAGTCACTAGGGGCATATGAAGGCGCAAAGTCAGCAGTACCAGGAAGTGTTGAAATTTGACAGTTTAATGTTAAAACTTGAACTTGTATAGAGTGTGTTTGATCTCTTGCAGCTTGTGTCAGCCAACCAGATATCTCCTTTAAATATTCCATGTATATTAATAATCTTCCCAGCAAGTGTGTAAATACATGCATGAATAGCTTCTTACTGAGTAATTGATGAAGTCTCTGATAAAATTGTGCAAACTGTATCTGCTACTTTTTACAAAAGCTTAAAATTCTTTACCAATTCAAATTTTTCCTTGCATTAGATAATGAAATTTTCCTCTGAAAGTGTGGCTGCATTCATAGCAGTGCTGGGAATACTGTCCATCGTTGCTCAGGTGAGTGATTGTGTGTGTGTGTGTATGTATGTATATATGTGTGTGTGTGTATGTATATATATATATGTGTGTATGTATATATTTATTCTGCACTCAGTCTCCCCTTGTTGGGCGGGAGCTGTGTAGCACAAATGAAATGGATTGCCAAGTTACAGATGTTCTAAGTAACTTCAAGGGCTTGTGCAGAATTTTTTTTTGTTTTTGTTCCTTTTTTTGTCAATACAGCGTTTTAGTTTTCTTATGGGTCTGAACACCGTTTACGTTTGTGTTCAAATCAATAGAATGAAAATAGAAACATCTATACCAGAGGTTGGTAATTTACTTGTGTACGTATGTATATGCATAGGCATCTAAATTTAATTGAAGTACAATTTTATGCGTCTAAGGGTTGTATCAATGTTTACATGTCTATACGTGTGTAGACAGAGCACTTTATGTGTATTTTATGCATATTTTCGCCGGATCTTTCTTCTGACAAGATCCTGCGTAGATGATCCATAATATCATGCACGGATTGCGTGTAACTTAATTACTTAAAAAACAAGTTTAATTTGATTACCTAGATTTGCTATTTGCACTACCATAGGCAAACAATGTCCAGTCCTGCTGGCAAGTATGTACTGTCAGCTTTCTGCTACAGCTTTAAAAAGTAGTTCCACTTTTTAAACCTTAAAAAATAAAAAATTCCCAACGCTATTCCTGCTGCACCTATCTGCTGTGCAAGAATGATCTGCTGTCTATGTCTGTCGATCAACCGAGCCATAATCTTTGGGACCACCAAATACTGGTTTGCTTTGATGTGAATCTTTCCCTGACTTATATGTTAACGTAACCACCCATCACAGTGATTAGTCAGTAATAATACTGAAGCAGATGGGCAGAGATGGTGACCATGAAAATTAGTGGCGGTTTGTAATTGAGGCGCCCTGGTATTTGGACTTCCCAGGGGGTGCTCCCTTCCCAGGGGGTGCTCATTCTAGGATGCATGTCATAGTTGACCTATAGTTTAGGGGCACACTGCTGAATTGCGAAAATGTGCATGTTTTTACAGAGCATTTTCAGAACTTTCAGATATATATATATATATTTTTTTTTGAAGACTTTAACCGCCGCCCTATAGTAGAACTACTGCTACAGGGGGTCAGGGCTGCGGAAAATCGTGTGTGTATATGTGTGTATATGTGTGTGTATGTATGTATATATATATATATATATATGTATGTATGTATGTGATTTGCATTTCCGGGTAGGTGGCACACGCGTGGTGGCAAAGGATGTCAATCACCGGGTCCCGGTTGGAGATTCCTCACTGGTACCTGGCAATCGCCGAGTAACTCTGACAGGGGAGAGACCTGTGTGTAAACAACACAGGGGTCTCTCCTGCCAGCAAGAACATGCTGTGTATTTTTCTGCACAGCAGCATGTTTCCCCATTAAAAAACACACAGCACATGATGTAAAACAGCACACAGTTAACCCTTTGATCATCCAAGATATTAACCCCTTCCTTTTCAGTGTCAGTACAGTATTAGTGCTTTTTATTAGCACTCATTACTGTATTAGTGTCATTGGAATGTCAGTGGCATTTAGTCGGTTCCCACCCAGTGTCAGAATGCCCGCTGCAGTCCAGCTATAAGTCGCTGATCGCAGGCATTATTAGTATAATAAAAATAAAAATACCAGTATATATAGCGCCATTTGTAGACACTATAACTTTCACGAAAACCAATTAATGTATTGGGATTTGTTTTAGCAAAGACATGTAACAGAATACATTTTGGCCTAAATTAGATTTTTTTCAAATAATTTTTACTGGATATATTTTGTAGCAAAAAGTCACTTTTTCTTTGCGTTTTTCTTTTCAAAATTGTCGGGTTTTTTTTTTTTTTTATATAGTGCAAAAATTAAAGAGGTGATCAAATACCACAAAAAGAAAGCTCTATTTATGGGAAAAGGACATAAATTTAATTTATGTACAGCATTGCATGACCGCGCAATTGTCAAAGTAAAACAGCGCTGTCTCGAATAAAATGGCCTGGTAAGGAAGGGGGTAAATCCTCTGGAGGGCAAGTGGTTAAACAGCACCCCTTAGCTCCACTTTTGGAATGTCAAACAAAATGTTAACGGAAATGCTGACTATCATGTGAAACTATCTGCTATAAGCCTTCGTAAAGCTTCAGCACTACGTGAAGTTTGATATGTGTTTAACATTCCCAAACTGGATCTGAAGGGCGCTTTAAAGATTAACATAGCTGCTTGAAGCCGGTCAAAAGCATTGCAAAATCTTTCTGTGCATACAGTGAAGGAAATAAGTATTTGATCCACTGCTGATTTTGAATGTTTGCCCACTCACAAAGAAATGATCAGTCTAAAAATCAAATGGTAGGTGTATTGTAACACTGAGAGACAGAATAGCAACAAAAAATTCAAAAGAAATGCATGTCTAACAATTTATGCACTGATTTACATGTTCATGAGGGAAGTAAGTATTTGATCCCCTATCATTCAGCAGGTTTTCTGGCTACCAGGTGTCTTTCATACAGGTAAGCTGAGATTAGAAGCAGTCTTTTAAAGGGAGTTCTGCTAATCTCATTTTCTTACCTGTATAAAAGATACCTGTCCACAGGACCAATCAAACAATCAGATTCCAAACTCTCTACCATTGCAAAGACCAAACAGCTGTCCAAGGATGTCAGAGACAAGATTGTAGACCTACACAAGGCTGGACTGGGCTACCAAACTATCGCCAAGCACCTTGGGGAGAAGGTGACAACAGCTGGTGCAATCATTTGCAAATGGAAGAAACACAAAACAACTGTCAGTCTTCCTAGGTCTTGTGCAACATGCAAGATCTCACCTCGTGGAGTATCAATGATCATGAGAACAGTGAGGAATCATCCCAGAATTACACATGAGGATCTTGTCAATGATCTCCAGGCAGCTGGGACCACAGTCACCAAGAAAACAATTGGTAACACACTACGCTGACAAGGATTGAAATCCTGCAGTGCCCGCAAGGTCCCTCTGCTCAAGAAAGCACATGTCCAGGCCCATCTGAAGTTTGCCACTGAACTTCTGAAACTGACTGGTTGAAAGTGTTGTGGTCAGATGAGAGCAAAATCAAGCTCTTTGGCATCAACTCAACTCGCTGTGGTTGGAGGAGGAGGAATGCTGCCTATGATCCCAAGAACACCATCCCAACTGTCAAACATGGTGGTGGAAACATTCTGCTTTGGGGGTGTTTGTCTGCTAAGTGGACAGGACAACTGCACCGCATTAAAGGGACGATGGACGGGGCATTGTACCATCAAATCTTGGGTGAGAACCTTCTTCTCTCAGCCAGGGCATTGAAAATGGGTCGTGGATGGGTGTTCCAGCATGACAATGACCCAAGACACACGGCCAAGGCAACAAAGGAGTGGCTCAAGAAGAAGCACATTAAGGTCCTGGAGTGGACTAGCCAGTCTCCAGACCTTAATCCAGTTGAAAATCTGTGGAGGGAGCTGAAAGTTCGAGTTGCCAAACGTCAGCCACCAAACCTTAATGATTTGGAGAGGATCTGCCAAGAGGAGTGGGCCAAAATCCCTCTTGAGATGTGTGCAAACCTGGTGGCCAACTACAGAATACGTCTGACCTCTTTGCCAACAAGGGATTTGCCACCAAGTACTAAGTTATGTTTTGTGAAGGGGATCAAATACTTATTTCCCTGACGAACATGCAAATCAGTGCATCATTTGTCAGACATGCATTTCATTTGAATTTTTTGTTGCTATTCTGTCTGTGTTACAATACACCTACCATTCGACTTATAGACTGATCATTTCTTTGTGAGTGGGCAAACATTCAAAATCAGCAGGGCATCAAATACTTCTTTCCTTCACTGTACAAGCTGAAACCTGTGTAAACACAGTTCCTTATACCTTAAGGGGCATTTGGAACTGCTTTATTTTCCCACAGGTTTTTTTCTTGATATTGCTCTGGTTTATATTGTGGGCTACCTCGCATACATATAGTTCCTAGTGGAATTCCTTAAATTATTGTTAGCCTTATGGCTGAAAAATCAGAAGCAAAAGGGTTCATGCAAGTAAATTCAAATGCTCCATTTTGTTTAGCGTGCCTGCAGAGCCTTCAGTCATAGGCATATTGTTCATGGGCTTTGGTTTTGCTCTGACTGGAAGCCAAGTCCTGCCCTAAACAATTAAAAGTCCAGACTATCTATTGGATACAGAGTGATTTGAAAGATTTACATGCTTTTTGTCACCTGTTTTTAAGCCATATTTTATATATCTAGTATAAGTGACAGACTTGATTTATCACTCAGAAATGGATTTTGAATGGCCTGAGATTTCCAGATATTTGACTCTTCAGGATGCATATCGCCTGTGCCAACTATGTTGTGTCCATCTGAGCCACACATCCAGCCATTTTAATGATAGGAGCAACATTAATTGCATGTTACTTTTGAAAATACAGGAACAATCAGACTGTACTGCATTAAAAGTTTTATGCTATATATACCACTTTAGATTTGATACATTTAAGCCTCTTAGTACAACATGTATTTTCTTTGTGCAGACCATTGTCTTGAGTTTTCTCATGAGGTCAATTGGAAACAAAAATACAATTCTCCTGGGTCTGGGATTCCAGATATTGCAGTTGGCCTGGTATGGTTTTGGATCAGAACCTTGGTAAGTTTTCCATTACCTTATTGCTGAAACAAGACATTTTCAACAATGCTGAGTTGTACATACTCTCCTTACAGCTAATTAATGGAAAAACCTTTCAGCACACAACAGCTATGATGTCACACTCTTTGCTAATGCAAATATTACACATCCTGAAACTAGAGAAACCAGCAGCACAATGTGCCAATAAAGCCAGCCAAGTTCCCTGTTTGCGGTGTGGCGGGAACTCTTTCCGAGGCTGGGTTTATCAGCATGCACTAAACAAGAACGTATTTTATCTTTTAAGCAGTGATATTTCAGCTACGGTATATAAGTAGGGATAAATAAACCTTAAATATTTAATCCTGAACCTTATTTGCATATGCCTAAATTAGGGCATTCTGGATAGACTGGTCTGTCTTCTTCTTTTCTCGTTTTATAATAAAGGGTGGTGATGAACACCATGGAAAGAAAAATATGTAAGATACATTTTAGGAGTGTGCACAGTGGACAAATATGGGTCATATACTAGCTAGACCAAACTACCCGCCCATGTCTATGCTTTATTATTCTCCCTGAACCTGAGATGTCAACTCAGAACAATTTATCTTTTACTGATCCTCTGGTTTGCCTACTCTTTTGTAAGGATGATTTTATTTTAAATATTTCTTCTTTTGGAGACAAATGTAAACACTTTTATTTTGTTTTTGGCATATTAAAATAATTTTTACATCTTTGTTTTAGTTCAAAAGCGTACTATCGTAATCATACAGTACAGGACACAGGCAATTTATTCATACCACATGGGTTATAGGTGTGTACCTTCAGGTGCTGGGCAGTGGCAAGCTTTTGAGGACGTCCTATGGGGCACCTCCCCTTTAACCTTACTCCCACTCCTTGAGTACTTGAGTCTTTTGCCACTTTCTGAAGGTGATGTACCTCTTTTGCAGAGAATTCAGCTTCACTACCTTATTTTCTTATATTTATTCAGTCAACACATTACTGTCTTCTAATGCCTACTTAGAAGCAGTGTATCCAGATTGGTGCAACCTTGCTTAAACCTTTGGAGTCATACACAGTCACCATGCTGTAGGGGCTTCCTGCAATGTTGCTTAGGGCACTGGATTCTGCATGGGCGCTCACATTGGCACTTGGTGCAGCTCATTGAGTCACAGGTCCAGGGCCATGGTCCATTGCTATGAAACCCAGTTTTGAATTCCCCTTTGGGGGTATGCCCCCTATTTTGGTGAAGCTTAGACCTTGTATACAATCCATCACTGTGGACAGGTAAGACAAGGTCAACCTGTAATTCTGTCCGTTACTGTTCAAAAGGAGCTATGTTTTTAAATATATTCACTTCACTGTGCAAAGATTTCAAACTTGGCACTAAGATTCAACCATTTAGAGCTTAGTCCCAGGTGGATGAGCAGGTGTTACATCACGTTGCTAGTTGCACACTTTAACACCACTTCCACCTAGAGCCATTATAAGGTACTCAGGCGCTTCCTCCCTCCGTTTTCGCCAAAAGGATTTGTTTAGGACCGTGTATGCCTGGGTTTCCGCGTACTCCTTCCAGACACACTTATCCCATCTCCCACACTTTGTGAATATCCTACAGTGGAATACATCTACTAGTAGCATTTATGGAGACCAGGCGAAAGGCAGCCAATTCAAAACAGGTGTACATTCGCTCTGCTAACTATCCATGCAGCATTCAACCTCAAAGTAACTATGCATCCCTTGCATCGGAGTAGGACCCGGTTTTGACACCATTCGTCGCATCAGGTTCTAGTTTTATTTCAGTCCAATTTGACTGAAGTAGAATTCTCTGCACCCGAATCACAATCCCTTGGACAGATTACGACCTTAATACAGCCATCTTTTTCCAGGGCTCAAAACTTTCCTGCCTATTCAACTCCAGTTTTGTCAACCAGAATTGCATCCTGATATTTCAGTCCTAGCAGACACAGACATGAATGGGAATGAAAAAAATGTTGATGCAGTATTGTAGGAAGCAGTAGAGGATTTCTCTGCCCAGAATTGTCAGTATGTTGAAGAGGGAGCTTCATGCAGCATGTTTGCCAATGCACTATTATCTATCCAGTGGAAAACGTTTTTGCAAAGAAGCAGGCTGTTCCTGTGGTTGATTCTGCCATCTGTCTTAAACTACTCACTGTACCTTTTTGAAGATGTTTGTCTTTCAAAGATCCTGCAGGTAGAAGATTTGAGACACTTCTGAAAGCTCTATTTTTCACCTAGCAGGCCCAACCCTGCCACCAGCTGTAGTTGCTATTTCTGTATGTCAAACTTCAGCAACTGGACAAGGACAATAAACAACCATCATGACCCTGTATTTCAGGGCTCTATTGTTGCAGAACAATTAAAGCAATTGCCTTCTCTACTTAGTCTGGATGCCCTAGAGCATGTCACAAGACACATTTCCAAAATGGCTCTAATTTCCATTCACATGCACAGAATCTGCAGACTAATATATACTATATAATATATACGAATGTATACCTTTCCAAAGAAGATGTCTGTATGGTGAGGCACTTGACCAGTTCATTAAAGAGGATACAGGTGAAATAGTTTTACTTCCATGGCAGCATGTTTCAAAACCACCACCCTCTGAAGCCCCTAGCTCCTCTAAATATAAAGCACCTAATTGCTGTACCCAGGATTCATCTACAAAATCTATGTTCAGTCCTTCCTTTTCGGTGCAAGATTTTGGCCACAAAGCCCAGCAAATCTTTTCCAAAGCCCTCTTCCCAGCGAGTGAGGACCACCTGTGACTGTTTATCTCTCTCTTGGTCACAGATGTCCTGGATCTCTAGGTTTAATCTGTGGTTTCAAAGAGGTACAAAATAGAGTTCAAAACTCTACCACCTTACCACTTCTTTGAACCACCTGTTGTCCCAGGAAGTCATGATGCCAGAACCACCACAAGACTTTTGTCCAATTTCATTCAGGAACTCTCCAACAAAACCGCTTGTCAGCTTAGAGAGTAAAAAGGTTTTCTTTCAACCTACCCACGCTCCTATCCAATCAAATGAGAACCTCCTTATCTTGTTGGATCACCACCCCAGCTCACTCACTGGGAAAATCCTTTCTTCCTTTCAACTGGAAAGTCCCTTACAAGAGACGCACGTCCACCAGACAGGCGAGGGGTTTTTCAATCCTTGACAGGACAGAGAACATGGTCAAGAGAGGAAACCAAATCCCCCATCAATATCTCGGAACTCAGAGCAGTAAGGTTATCCCTGCAGCACTTGACAACACTGCCCCCCACCCCCCACGTGTAGGCACTCCCAATCTGGGTGTAGACAGACAATTCCACCACAGTGGAATTTCATCCATCAAGGGGTCACAAGGAGCCTGGCTGCCTTGAAGATTCTGGTTTTGACCTGTGCTTCCCTAGGACATTAGTTTGGTTCTCTCTGCCCAGCAGAAACCACCCTTTGAACCCATCAGGGATATTTTCCTGGAGAATCTTGCCAGCAAAGTAGTTTTTGATAGCCGTCACATCTGTTAGACATGTATCTGAACTGACAGCCTTTCCTGTAAGGAGGCCCTTATACTTCACAACAAGGACATTGTTTTGCTGTCCTTGTACCTTGCTTCTTAAGCACTCAAAGGAATGATCTCTACTTTGCCTGGATGTAGTCAGAGCAATTAGAGTATACCTAAAAGATACTGTTTCCATTAAACACATGGATTCCCTATTTTATTTTCTTAGTCTCATGAAAGGGGCACCCTGCTTCAAAATTCATCATTGCGCAGTGGATACGAAACTTGATTGCAAGAACTCTGAAGCAAAAACCTCCTTCAGCAATGTTGTGCGCCCCCTCCACCTGGTCTGTGGGAGTTTTCATGGGCTTTTCAGCACCAAGCTTCTGTAGCCCAAATGTATAAAGCTGTTGGCTATTCTTCTCTTCATACTTTCTCAAAATCCTACCAAGTGGACATCCAGTTTTCTGTGGATGCAGCTTTTGGCTGCAGATTTTTTGCAGCAGTACTCTGAATTTGGGTCCTTGTCTCCTGTTGTGTTTTGGGCCTGTTGGTACAGTTCTGTTTGCCTAGTTGTTGCCAACCCTTTCTATTCATTGCTTTGAGATTTTGCATTGTGTGTGACTAAGTTGCCTGTGTCCTTTTACTGTACAGTTACGATAAAAGGAATTTCAACAACTTTTCCATATCTTGGAGTACAGTACAGGACGCTCTCCCTTAATTTCCTTGGTTTATTGTGCACTGCTTGCTACCAAACTGAGAACCCACAGAGTGGGGAACGGTTATAGGAGAGGGTGTATCTTTTTCTTGCGTCTTTTAGGTTACTTTGCGGTAAAAGCCAAGGGAGTTTAGATCTCTATAATAATATTTTTACTAAACAGAAAATCTGCACATACAACTGCAGAAAACACTAATCACAAAATATGCCTACAACATGCACAAGCTGACTCTCTTCTTAGCAAATAAGCATGTGCAATATGTATGCAGTAAGTATACAAAATAGCTACTCAACTTGGGCTTTCCATTGATGGAATCTTCTTCATGGTTCCTTCAGAGTCCAACTGCTTCCTCATCCATCTTCAGAACAAATGTGTCCTTTGTCTCTCAAAACAGCTCTTTGCCTCAGCACGTGGCTTGTTCAAAAAGTCTTCTTTCTCTTCCCCTGCAATTTCATTTCCTGTAAGGAGCTTTCTGTGCTGTTTATAAACTAGTCAAATGGTTCATTTGCATAGCAATAGGAGGAGCTTAGCTTCAAACGCAACACGTGTAACTTAAAAAAAATCACATATTTAAGCTATAAAAAACTCACCAACTAATCCATAGCAACGCAGCTTGTCCTCAAAAGATTGCCAGTGTCCAGTCATCTGAAGGTATGCACCAATAATGCTTGGTGAATAAATAAGTTACCAGTGTCCTGTACGATATTTCAAGATGTGGAATTTATATAGAAGCTATTTTTTTTCTTCCCAGAACTGAAGTACCATATTATACTGTGAATGTGCAGCAATTGATACCCAGTGGGGTAGATGTACTAACACTGGTGCACTCAGAACCTGGTGCAGCTGTGCATGGTAGCCAATCTGCTTCTAACCTCAGCTTGTTTAATTAAAATGTTACTAAACCCACAACAGTAAAATCACTCTACCAATGGTGTATGAAGTGCCAAGAAATCAATCAATGATCCTCATATATAGTCCAAAGTAATGTGCATAGGAGATTGTGATGATCTTCAATATCTGGTGGTCTTATCCTGTACGGTGGTGATGTGGCCAAAATTGTAAAGACTGCGTACTCACCAGATGCACAATCAATGTGCGCATTTTGAGATAACACTTCAGTAACCTGGAGGCCCCTTTAAGATGGAAAAGGTCTGGTCTGGTCTGATGTCCCTCACTGTTCAAACTCTGCTGTCTGCAATGGCAGAACTACTCTGTGAGTGGTTAAAAGCTCCCAATGAGCCACAGAAAGAGGAGGCCAATAGCGTGATATTGTTTTAAATATTGGTTGTTTATTCCAAATAACAGCAATGAAAAGGATAAAACAGCTTGAACTGACCAGATTCCAAAGATGGCCGCCGGGACCCACGTGGTGGCGGTGGCGTGACGTCACAACGCTGTAGCTCCTCCCTTAGGGGAGGGACATCAGACCACCAGATATTGAAGATCATCATGATCTCCTATGCACTTTACTTTGGACTATATGAGGATCATTGATTGATTTCTTGGCACTTCATACACCATTGGTCACTATACAGTGACGTAATATATCACCATTCAGTCACTTTATTTCATTGTTAGCACTTTACCAATGGTGCTATTTTATATTTTGCTTGCTTTATTTTATGTGTATATATGCATATTAATGTTTGAGAGTGACACTATTCTATGGTACCACTAAGTCACTTTATTTTAGTCATCACCATGTCACTGATTATTTTATGATCTTATTATTATGGTCTGCATATGATTATATGATTATAACTATTTTAGCGCTACACCCTATTTTATATTTGCATTTTTGAAGGTTTTTCTTGGTACCTTTTGGTGTTTTAGCGGCTTTATCTGACTTTTCACGCTCACTTATCCCTGTTTGTGCTTTATCAGTAAAATCACTCTGTATATGCAGTAAAGCATACTTGTTATACTCACTGTGGAACCCAAGGGGTTAATTCTCTGCATTGTTTAAAAAGGATATTTGATCCTGACTCCTCTGCCCCTCCTCCTGTTCAGATGTGCACCTGATAAGACAGACTGAATCCGTAGCCATTCTGCACATGCTCAGTTTGGTGTGTATTGCTAGAGAGGGTTTTATTTTTCTTGGGAGAGTGAGTGCGATCAGCACAGTCCAGGCAGAGGTCAGGGGTCCTGCATCCTCCTAGAGCAGAAATAAAATTCCTCCTATAAGCTGTAACCAGTGCTCAGCTGAAGTCACAAGACTGCTCTATACTGCAGATGAGGAAAGGTATTTAGCAGTTTATATTTCCTATAATAATGGCCCTTCCATATTGTGTGTCCTGTGGGAGACCAGGGAGACCAGATAGAGGGAATGCAGGCTCCGGGGTTTAGGAACACTTTAAGCTTTGGCAATAAAACCTGAAAACCGATTGGTTTCCGTGCAGAGTTGCACCAAATTTTATACTCCCCAGCTTTAGTAAATAACTTCCAGTGTACTCTTAAAGTAGATCTAGACCAAATCCCGAATGTTGTGAATTTATTAACAAGGGTGTTCACAAATCCCTCAAAATCTGCAGCGTTCTGTCTCCTTTATTTTGATCCTTCCTGGTCACCCTGGTACACTCAACCCTAATGGACAACTATTGTGAAGCTGGTCTAGAGCAGTGATTTGTGGCTGCCACATTAGAAAACACATATAGACAGGAAGTGCCTAGTGCCTTAAAAAAAAAAAAATCAGATTAGCTGCGCTGTAATAATAAAAGAAAAAATGTGAAAAGGGTATTTTCTAAAATATAAACTTGGCGGATTTTATGATGCACAGTGCTTTGGCAAACGAATTATCCACTAGCTGGGGTTTGTATCTACTTTAACTAGTTTGCTGACCACAGAGTGCGGCTGCACTGCGGCCGGCCAGTTCTGGGAGGGCATCATATGACGTCCTCCAAAAACGCGCTCTCCTGCGTGCCCCCGGGGTGCGCACCCGGAGATCTCCGTGTCCTACGGACACAGTTGATCACGTGATGTGGTAAAAGGCCAATCACAGCGGCCTTTTACCACGTGATCAGCTGTGTCCAATGACGCGCTGATCACCGGGAAATGCACTTTCCTCACGCTGTCAGAGCATGAGGAAAGTACATCCGAGAACTGGCAGTTGTCAGAGCAGGGATCGGCACTGATGATCAGTGCCCAGCAGTGCCACCCACCAGTTCTGCCCAGCGGTCCACCCACCAGTTCTGCTCACCTGTTCCCAGCAGTGCATCCCACCTGTGCCGCCAGTCAGTGCCCAGCAGTTGCGCCAGTCAGTGCCGACTATCAGTACCTACCCATCATCAGTGCCACCTATTCGTGCAGCCTTATCAAAGCACATCAGTGAAGGAGAAAAATTACTTGTTTGCAAAATTTTATAATAGAAACAAAGAAACTTTTTTTTTTTTTCAAATTTTTTTGCTCTTTTTTTGTTTATAGCGCAAAAAGTAAAACACCCAGCGGTGAGTAAATACCATCAAAAGAAATCTCTATTTGTGAGAAAAAAATTATAAAGATTTCATATGGGTATAATGTTGCATGACCGCGCAATTGTCATTCAAAAATGCGACAGCACTGAAAGCTGAGAATTGGCCTGGTAAGGAAAGGGGTATAAGTGCCCGGTAGGCAAGTGGTTAATTGGCTACAGATTCTGCACAGTTGAGAAGGGGGGAGGGTAAATTGTACTATTGCAATTGTATAAAAAAATGTCACTATTATAAATGTATTGTTTCCATTTCATATTTGTGCAGGATGATGTGGGCTGCTGGTGCTGTGGCAGCCATGTCCAGTATTACATTCCCTGCAGTGAGTGCTCTGGTATCTCGGACTGCAGATGCTGACCAACAAGGTAAGGTAGACCTGAGATACATTTGTTGTATGTAGATTAAACCTAAAACTGTTTTACATTGTTGTTTGAAAGCATTTACACTATATTTTGTGTGTAGTGTAATCTGTAAATGATGCTTACGTGTGTGTGCGCGCACACGTTTCTTTCAGTGTTCCAGTGAAGGCATGTAAAGTCCATATAGAAGTGTATTCCCAATATATTGCTACTAATGCATCTCGATTGGTGTCTGTATATATTGCCATGCCAATGTCTAATTTTAGCAGATCAGATGTTGCAATTGATGAATGTTTTACTGTAGGTGTTGTGCAAGGGATGATCACAGGAATTCGAGGGCTGTGCAACGGCCTTGGACCTGCATTATACGGTTTTATATTTTACATCTTTCATGTGGAGTTGGATGAAAATCCTATTAAAGAGGATAGCCCAGGACAAGACAAAGTGACCTCTTCACATTTACAACAGGTATTTTTGTTTTACACTCACTGGATATATTTTATTAAATGGCTACTCTTCATAGTGAAGATTGGAAAACATTGGTTGATCGTGTATATGCAATGTTTTAGGTTACACTCTCTTCACATCCTCAGCTCTATATTCTACTGACAAATGGTGATGTATGCTGGGCAGCAATCACAAACAGCCTGATTTATTACCTTGTCTTGGTGGGGGGGGGAGGGCAGAAATAACTACAGGACTACAAGCATGCTTCTGTGAGTTTATGCCCAAACTTTTGTTGCCCAGGGTACTTGCATGTGTTTGTCATCCAAAATGATCTAACTTGATATGGGTGGATGGATACATGGATTATAGGTCCTTGCTGTAGATATCTTGCACTAAAAAGCAGATGCTGGAAATATTGGACTATATTTTGCCACATTTATAGTTACCAACTAAAATAGATTCTTTATAAAGATCTGCATTGATGTCACTTTGTACACTTTAGTATGTTTCCTAGCAGTTGTGCAACACAAATACTCGATCACGGGCACTTTACTCTGAATAGGAAATACACAGAGGAGCCTACAGCCACATAAACAGAAATAGGTGTTGTTTTACTGCACAGTTACAGCACAGGTCAGAACGGAACCAAGTGCTGAGTGCACAGTGAGGTACATGAATGCTAACATATGTCGTCAGACAGAAACCTTTTTTGTTCGGAAGGGACTTTTCAGACATTCCACAATTCCCGAAGGGTCAAGTTTAGCATGATCACCAAAAGAGGGGGAGTCCTTTTAGCTTCCAGCTAAGGGTTCAGATAATCATCAAAGGGGGTGGGGTTCCTTAAAAGCCATCCAACTACAGGTCATCCTGAAGGAATTTCCCTCTTTTGGTGATCATGCTGAACTTGGCCTTTGGGTATCCCACAGTTGTTTGATCATGGGAATGCTTGTCATCTTAATGAAACTCCCTGTTGCTTGAAGTACTGCTTACATGCGAGAGGTGGCACCCACAGGTTCTGCTGAAGGGAGATGATCTTGGAGCTCACCTGTGGAGTCTGCTGTGTTATCTTTTAACACCGCAATGATTTTGATGGACGCACACCTGTTGTGACCATTTGGGACTTCTACAGATTCTTGTTTCTCTTTGAGGAAGAAAGTATTTTTCCAAACGTGTTGTGGTCTAAGAGGATTATAACCAATGTTTTATTTGTGGCCTTATGTATTGTTTTTATGTCTTATGTTATTTTACGTATGTGACCACATGTGGAACGCCTGAAAAGTCCCATCCAAACAAAACATTTTCTGTATGAGTGTTAAACTGTGGTGATAATTCATCTTTAAGACTGTAGAACATAACACAGCATGTTTTTCATGTTAACTTGCATTACTGATACACCAGTTCTTGCTATGTTGCAGAATAGGAAGAGTATAATTTAAATTTTGTATTTGTTTGCAGAATTCAATCATCCCTGGGCCTCCTTTCCTGTTTGGAGCCTGCTCTGTGCTGCTAGCTTTGCTTGTAGCTTTGTTTATCCCAGAACACACCAACCTGAACATTCGCAGCGGCAACTGGAAAAAGCATGGAGCAGGGCACAGCCACCCCCACAGTCCGCCGGCACCTGGTGAAGGCAAGGAGCCTCTCTTACAGGACACAAATGTATGACAATTGCTTGAAAGACAATGACGGGCTTCTGCTGCTCATGTAGTTGCATTCCACTCAGTTAGAAACTGAGACACCTGCAGGATCAATTTCTACTCCAATGGAATGAATGGGCTCTCCAGTGAAGGAAAGGACCTTGGGCCCTTTCTACTGTAGAGATGTGTATTCGGCTGCCTCCATTCTAGCAGGCAAGTTTCCAGCCTACTTACAGCCTGATTGTGTGAGACAATCAGCATGTATTCTACCTTCTGAGTGCCAGGTTATTGCAACTTACAGATCTGAATATATAGATGTATTTGGTGGACTTGGACATACAGCAGGCTTACCCTGCTGGCATGGGACAAGAAATATGATCCTTGCGTTTGTGTTGCCTCCAGCAGTTTTTCACTAGCCAAAGTGTTTTTATTTTGCTTCATTCATTACCGTGCTCTTTTTCCCTTTTCTCCTGATGCTTGCCTGGGTTATGTCCTCTCTTTGTAGTGATAGCTCAGTAGAGCAGATTGTATGTTTACAAAACATACATCATATAAAGATTGACTGAACTATTTTCCAGTCTGCAGTGACGATTAGCCCTGCCACAGTTTTAGAATACTTTTACCACAGCACAGTTGAAGCAGCTTTGCTATGTAAATCACCAAGCCTTAAATGACTAATTGCAACATGGGACAGTCTACCACCTGTTGTAAGAGAAACTAGATGTTCATCATTTGTATAGTAAATTTTGGAGCTGAGTTTTCAGTTCAGCAGCTTTAGAGCCACATGATTTTATTAAACTATTTTGTGGCATGGAAAGACCACTGAAAATAACATTCGAATACTTTTTTTATACAGCTAGTATGTCTTATGGTGTCCCTCTCCAAAACCCTTTGCCTGCAGATGTGTCTCTGCCAGGAATTTGATGATTTGCAAACTGCAGCAACCATAGTAGCCAACCAGAATTCTTATTTCACTGATTGGTGGCAGTGAGACGAAAATCTGATTACTTCAGTGTGCTACACTTTACCTATCTACTTTTTTTGCAGTGATTTATTGAAAAGCTCCATTCATCACATAGATGTTTACCAACAGTGAAGTGCACTATTGTCTCTTACTGAAAGCCAGTAGTACTGTAGGAGAGAGCATGGTGTTGTGAGGCCATAGCGTTACTTCAGTGGTTTCTAGAAAGGTGCTTCAATGCATACAGGTTTAAAACGGTACTTTCCATATGTCGGTGTAACTGGCTTTTAGGCCTGGTTCACACCTACGCATTTTTTTGTGCTTTTTGTAAAAACTCACTACAGTCCATTTAACATGGTTTCCTATAGGACACGTTTACATCTATGTGTTTTCAGCCGCTACTTTTTTGGAAAGGGTCAGGAGCTTTTTTTTTTTACTGCAGCAGATTGCAACATGCATAGGTGTGAACCAGGTCTTGGAGGGCAAAAATGACTGGATGATGCCCTCTTGGTCCAGGCCCTTGAGAGAATGGTTACCAAGGTCCTCCACTTGGCATCACATAGGAATTTTATCAAGAAAGCCTCATGCTTTTGTAATGTTCTAACACAATTCTAGTACTAGAAAGGAGCTGGGCCTTATCGATCCTGTTTCTACAACTTGGACACCCAGGTTATACTACTTCATAGAATTGCCTCCAACCACTGTAGAGTAAAAGTTTTGAGGAGAAACCAAAAAAAAAACTAAAACTGTGGGAGGAGCTGAATCCTTTCATGGGTTGTGCACTGAGCTGGAGCCTGCTGGACAGGGATTCTTTATTCACTGCTCATTGTTCTGAAGGACTTCTAGCCTTACATGTGAAGGGTAATCCTCTTTACATGACCATGTTCATATACTGCCATCTTATTTTACATGTGTAAAATTGAATTACAGTTGTTAATGAGCTTGCTTTTTTCTTTCCTTCTCCACCCAAAGATTAACTAAAATATGTGAGGAAAATCCTTTTCATGTCCATTGAGGGACATAGGAATTCAGATGCAGTTGGGTTATACAGCTGCTTACAGAAGGATTGGTCACTAGCAAACTGGAAGAAATGTAGAAATGTAAGCCAGCCCCTGTATAACCCCTCCTCCCCAACCTAGCATGACTTTGTTTTTTTTGTGTTTTTTTTTTGCGGTTTTGTCCTAGGTGAATAGATGGTTTTTTCTCTTGCAGAGAGAAGTCTCTAGCCTTTTTTTCCTTTGAGTTTGTTCCTCCATTGACTTCAATCAAGACTCGATACATCATTGCTTGAGCTGGCCTCTATGTAGTGGCTATATAGAATGGCCTTTCCTAAGTCTGACTTCGGAGTGTAGTACGTGGTTTACCCAACACTGGATATGTGGGGCTAGTTTGCTATATGACCTTCAGCACTGGACTCTGCATTGTGGCGCTTTCCACACCTTCGTGTACTGATAAAAGTGCTTTCCAGGTCCAGAGGCATGGCATTGCCTCAGCTCTTGACCCTGTCTCTGAAGACTCACTCAGGGAATAAAGCCATTCAGGCTAAAGCACTGGAAGATACTTTACTGTGTGCACTGTTGAGTGCAGTATAGTGATTAGCTTGTCTGCCTAGCAGCAGTGTCGTAGTTCAAATCCCAACTACGACACTACCTGCATGGAGTTTGCATATTCTCCATGGACCTGAGTGGGTTTCCTTCAGGTACTCCGGTTTCCTCCAACACTCAAAAGACATGCTGGTAGGATAATTGGCTCCTATCTAAATTGTCCCTAGAGTATTTATGTAAGTTAGGGACCTTATATTGTAAGCTCCTTGAGAGCAGGGATAGATGTAAATATACAATATGTATGTAAAGTGCTGCATAAATTGTCAGCGCTATAAAAGTACCTGTAATAAATAAAATAAATTACCTGCCACCACTGGTTTCTCAGAAGTAATGGTTACCACTGGGGACTGCTTGGTAGTGTCACTCTGCACTCTTTCCCACCATTCAGCATTGAGGGAGAAGCTTTCTGCTTGAAAAGTAGAATGTGGAACTCTGTTCTGTACCTACAGTGATATGGATGCCACCAGCTGCCCAACCATTTTCTGCACCAGTTGCCTGGGTTTGCAAGTACCTGAAATCTTGCCTCACACTTTGGGCCTTGTTGCATTACCACTCCACAGATGCTGCTTGTTGCACATAGACACAGAGTGGGGACGTTCTGCTGCTACCAGTGACCCTAGCCCATACTCCTCCTAGTGGATCTTGGACAATTTATCTATATTCTCTGAAGGAGCCAGTGCATGCAATCTGGAACCCTACCGTTACAGAATCTACATAACTGGAGTCTTAGCTCCATCTGATGAGGCCAAGACTCCTCAACTGTTGTCGGGGACCTCCACTCAGGACTTTTTGGCCTTGCATTCCTTGATCCATCTCACCTGGATTCATATTTGGACATTGATACTTCAGGTAGCTTTAGGGATGCAGGCAGATCCCAGGCCCCTTTCAAGTGAGTCCTGTTAGTGGTTGTTGCTGGGTTTTCTACCCATCGCTGAACTTCTGTATTTAAATTTCTGTGTCCCTCAATGGACGAGCAAGAAAATAGGATTTTTGTACTCTCCATAAAATCCTTTCTTACAGTCAATTGAGCAACATAGTACCTCTGTGGTACTGCTAGTAGGGGTTGGCTTACAATTTTTATGTTTGCCAGTGTCCAGTTCTTTTGTAGGCAGCAGTATAACATGACACTATCTGCATTCCCTCAACTGACTCCAAGAAAAGGCTTTTACATGAAGTACAGAAATCCAGGTATTTGCTCTAATAATCGTGCGGCTCCCAGTCAGATGTTAGAGAAGGATTCAGGCTCATGCCTCTTTTACATACCACTATCTATATATATATATGTTGGATGTTTAATGTCCAAAACTTGAATATACAGCTTCCAGAGTCTGTTACTTTGAGGCTGTGCATTTATTGGTGGCCTTCCTCCATTTTAGTTTTAACCTCATGAATGCCAGAAGCTGGCAACTTTGGTTTGCTGGCACTCAATAAGTTTAAAGGAAAGCTATTTTAGTTTAGATAAACTCCACAGAAAGCTTTATACAGAAAAAAAAGTAACAGATGTGAATTTATCTTCTAAAACAATATAACTTGTAAATATTTTTACTTGGTTATTTAAAGTGTTCTTTGTATAAAAAGTATTGTATAATTTAATAGGATCACTTTTTGTTTTGCTTGGTACTTTGAACATTTCTCATTGGCTCAGATCTGAATGATGTATGTTTACAAATAAACCTAAATATTTTTATATTTAACCTTGCAAAATACTTGGAGTTTTTTTATGTGGAATCCTTGGTTTCTGTTACAATTTATACAAGATGTGTTTCAGACTAAAATGAGAGGTTGTGAATATAAAATATTAAAGGCCACATGTATACCAAAATACAGGTGATATTTTACTGAAAGGATTCTGTGAAAGTATAACCTAGCGTGTGTGTGTTTTAAATTGCTTTTCTTTCTTACCGTAATTGCCATTTGTGGGCTCTCCCTCATGTCAGCATACTAATAAGGGTTTGTCTGCCTCAAACCCTGGATAGGACCATGTCTCACTCAAGCATAAGACAGCCTCATCCAATGTTCCTTAATGAGCTGAGCAAAGGAACATCAGGTGGGGAACGTATGCTAAGCTAGAACCTTGGAAGCCAAGAATGGAGCCACTAAGTGCATCAAGTGAGTTTTTTACTACCGAACTGACTGGAAGGAGTCAAAAATGTTGTGTGTGTGTGTGTGTATGTATAATATATATATATTTTTATTTTTTTTTAAGCCATCTGTAGAAGCCTTGCCCAGAATCTAGATTGATGTTGTAGAAAACTTAACATCTAGAAGTAATATGGCAGAAGACAAGTCTTTGTGTTAAAGCCCCTTCCATTCAAGTCAGGTGTACAATGTTGGAGTGCAGGTGACCATCCTGGATGAGAAAGAGGGGCAGTATCAGTCAATCCAGGAGCAAAACAAACCACAACCTCCTTGGCTAGCATGGCAGAATGGCTATTGCCCCCACACCTGATCTATTTTCATGAG